TGCTCTAGATGAAAAATGTCCTGCCGCTCTTCGTGTGTTCTCTCTTTCGATCAATTTCGAATTGCCTTTGGTGATCTCATGTATCCCCCAAACCAGAAAAACCCGACTTCCACCAGGTTGACCTGTTTCTTCTCTGGTTTGTTTGGTAAAGTCTCGGTTTTTGCCCGGCTTTTCTCCTCCAAAATATCTTGCTTGAAGGTCAAGAACCGCCACCCCAACGCCTTCCAGCCCTGGGGTTTCTCCACGCGCAGCTGCATCGGCAGCCAGTTCGCGCTCTTCGAGGCCAAGCGGCTTGGCGTCGATGCAAGAGGAAGCTGGCGGTCTGTTTTCAGTCTGGGGGGGGCAAAGCGAATTTCGCAAATCCATTCTGACTATTCCGGCCCTCATAGTACCGCTCGCAACAGCACCCTTCAACAGCTCCTGGCGCATCCTAGCGCAACTCTCAATCACAGTTGCCAGAACACCTGCAGTGGCACCCTGCAAACGGGTTTTGCAACAACTTACCATATTTTGGTGACGACCCTCGGTTTTTTCACTACGTTTGGGCTCAGGGCAGAAATTTATAACGAAGGACGCTCCAATGGTATCCAGGAGAACATTTTGTTTAAATTATCTTTCTTCTAACAGTACAGGGCGTGACGAAGAGTTTTTGACAGGGTACTGTTGCAGGTGTGCGGGATTCTTCGAAAGCTGTAAAAGCAACCGTCGGTGGCTTCCTTTCTACCTTTTGACCTTGTTGTTTTTGCCGTTGGTCTAGTTTTGGTGGAGGTGCCAAAGGGTTAAGCTTGTATTCCGGGTGCTTTGGGGAATTTGGGTTTCAAGGGCACACAAGCACAATTCGCGCAATTGCCCTTTGGGGTCCAAAACTCCAAAACTCCAAAACCCTATTTTGGCACATTGGTGTTTCTCAAAACAGGGGTGCCCGTGTTGGATGGCGAGCGGAAACCAAAGGGGAGCCATTGCTGCCTGAAGGCCGCAGCACTGTTTGGGGTCCTTTGCCGGGATAATTTGGAAGGTTCTTCTTTGGGGCAAGGAAAACTCCATGCCAGGCCCCTCCTGTTTTGAGACAAGCCACTATGGGCACTCATGTTCCATCATGTTCGGGGAAAACATTCGCAGTTTTGACCGCGGTCTGCCATCTCAGGACCTTCCTGGCCTCCATTCTGCTGCACTTCCGGCTGCAGCCGATGCCGGGCTACCAGCTGCAGGCAGCGCTGGAGGGGGGCGCCGCACCCAGCGCGAAGGACCTCAAGTTCATGGTCTTCCCCCGGCCCGGAGGCCGGGATGTCGCTACTCGTCGACCGCGGCCAAAGTGGCTCGCAGGCCGTCGATTTCTGGTGTGTGCCGTTTTTTATTTTTTTTTGGTCTTGGGGTGCCATGGCACCGCAGAAGAAGTTGAAGCCTTCGCTCGCGCGCAAGGGCAGGATGCTGAGGCTCTGGCCCTGTGCAAGTTGCAAGCTCTTAGTGGGATTCGGTGTCACACTTCACTGGGTGGACGAGTATCAACAGACTGCGCTGTATTACGCGGCGCGGCGGGGCCACACCAAGACTTGTGCTTATTTGGTGCAGCAAGGCGTAAACGTAAACCATCTTGATTCCAACGGCGAGGCCGCGTTGTTTTATGCCGCCACCCGCGCTCTCGTTGACACCGCTCTGATCTTGATCGAGGGCTGATCGAAATTAGACGTTGTGAACTGGTGGGGCTGGAACATTGTGCAGGTTGCAGCGAAGGAGACTGCGCCCAGACTTCAGGAAGAGGTGAACGCCCGCAAGCGCAAGGTGCAGGAATTTCCTCCGCAGCCCCGGCTGCTCCGGCCGGGGTTTCCGCAGCTGTGCCGGTCGTTCCCCTTGCGAAGCGGCGCAGAGCGTCAGCCACACCTTTGGAGGCCTTGCGAGACTGGGCTGACGAGTGGCCGGCCGGCGAGATCGTACAGGGCGGCAAGATTGAAGCCAAGCCCGAGGACTTCATCCACAGTGGCGGGGGCTACGCTGTGGTGAAGGTGCCCGTGGCCTGTGCGGCCCGGCTCCGCGTGTCAGAGAACTTCGTAGTGGACCATGCGGAGTTGCTAGTGAAGGAGACGTGGTTTGCAGACGTGACTTACGATTCCTGGTGCAGGAACGTGGGCGTCATCGATGACACCGTCAAGCCTCCGCACGACCCGATCAATGCCATCAAGGCTGTGCTGTCGGGGCAAGACCCCACGCACTTCACGCTCTCGCTGGTGCACCTTGCGACCAATTATATTTCTGGATACGTGCATTGCATGGATCAGAACGACGAGCAAGAGCTGAGCATTTCCCACCTCAAGGTGGACTCCGCTCATCAGGGCAAAGGTCTAGGCGCCATGCTCATGCAGCCGCTGTCACAAGCTCGGCTGGAAGTGCGCCACCACCGGACTCTCCCAACTCAAACTCAACGTATGGCTTTTGCCATATTTGTTTGGAGTCTTCCACAGGTTACATGGCGTTGTCCTTTCAAACCACCAGGGGTCCCTCGTGTTTTCAATCGAGACCTAGCTTGGAAGCTTGGGTTCAGGCATCATTCTGTTTAACCTTTGGGCAAATGTTGCCGTGTTTGTTTGATGAGGGAGGGTTCCTTTAGTTTCCCTTTGAACCGACCCCAACCAGCGTACCCGCTGGCCCCACCTCCAGGCCCGCTTTGGACAGAGAAGGGCCTTATGCAGCCCTTGCCCGCCCTGCCGGTGCCAGAGCGCCAAGAGCGGCTTGGCCTTGTTTCGCTTGCTTGCTCGCTTCCGCGCTTTCTGGATTTGATGCTTTTTGGGAATCCATCTTTAGTGGTAAAACAAAAAATCACATTTTGGGGGCCAATCCCCTTTGCTGCCATCGCTTTCCACTTTTTTCTCTCTTGTACAGTCCCCGTTGTTCCTTGCTTGGATTGGGTTCCCTGTGAAATAGACAAGCGAAGAAGGGTGTACTTGGTTTTGCTTGTAGCCTGTGCACCTCTGAGACAAAGCGAACTACAAGCTATCTCAGGCTAGGCACCAGGCACCCCAAGTTTGTGCTTACCCGCGCCACATGCCTTTGTTGCGCTTGACACCCTCAAATATAACTTGCCTCACTAAGGAGCTCATAGGTGCTTGCTTAAAGATAACCAACACGAACCAGTTGCTGCGGAGATGTAACAAAACAACACAAATACTGGTTGATATCCCCCAGTTTTCGATTTGGAGGGCCAGGGCTGTTGTCGGTGACATCGTGATGTATCAGTTGAAGCCTTCCAACTGCTTGGCTCAACAGGGTCCAGCTCACTTTTATTTCCAATGTTTTGGGCACCGCCAATGTAGAACCGTCTGTCTTTCATTGGGTCGCAACGAAAAGCATGGCGAACGTTTTGACGTTTTTTTTTTTTTTTTTTTTTCCTCGAAGTTCTACTTGTCACCTGGCAAGCGGCATGGGAAAGAACCCCTGCTGACTTTGATAAGGGAGCTCCGGATCTGAGGCCGGAGGCTGCCAAAGCACCGAGCCCCAAGGCGGATGGCCCAACCGACGCCAGCGGCCCGTTGATGAAGGTACTCTATGGATCCAACTCGGGCTCCAGCCAGACTTTTGCCAGCCAGGCGAGAGACACGTTCCCAGCGCAGAATCCCTACATCGGGGGGTTGATCAGTATTCTTGGCCCCAAAATGACCATGGATAACTTCTCCCATGTGGCGAATGCCGTCTTTTTCGGTGGTGTCTCCAATGGTCACCCCATGTAAACAGCCTTTTGATCAATCCCCAAATCAGCTACCAAGGAAAGCCAGCCTTTTTGTTTTTGCCCCTTGGCCACTGGGTCGGGGAGAAAGTTGAGAGACTTGGTGGCTCCCCGGTTCAACCGTTAGAACGTTTGGTTGCTTGGGAGTGTTGTTGCCTCAGAAGTAGCGAAGAGGTATGCATTGACATGTTCGGCTTTTCTTGGCCACCTACAGTGATGCCTGGAGTTGATGGATGGGGTGTGTGATGTGAGGATCAGTCAATTACTGGTCGTCTATAGTCCATGTGTGAGGGGCATTGGGGACGAGCTCTAGGCTTCCTGGCAAAAACTGAGGACGAACCCCAGCTTTCCAATGTCCTCTTGGGAAATGTTTGTAATTTCGACCATGGTTCGTTTGGGTATGTGCTTTTGTTTGAGGGGGCGGCTGAGACGGAAACCAAGAGGACCATGACCATTTGCTTGCCTGAAACAAGACGATCCCAACTTGAGAAGGGCATATAGGTGTGAGCTTGCAAGGAGCCGGATTCGGGAACGAGCGATTTAGCCCATGAAGGCCTCTTAGGTAGGATTTCCTATTTTGGGTTTGTGAACGGTAATCATCTGCCCACATTGGAATTTAAGACCTGCAGCTTGGGGAGTGAAGGACATGAACTGACCGGCCGCATTGTGTACTTTCTTGGGCCCTGACAGGCAAACAGTCGCAGTATCTCATTGAGGGGGTTGCAGAGCTTCATCGAAATCATGTACTTCCATCATCCTGTTTGATTCACAGGCGCAACCATTCCCATAGATTCTAAGAGCGTTGCCAGGTGGCTCGCGCCGCCTCGCGCAGCGGTTTCAAGACCAGCCTCGATCCTTTGGACTCGGTGGTGAACTCGACTCTGCCGACGGATGGCATGGTGGTGATCGTTACCTCCACGCGCGATCCCCAGTGAGATGATGTTATACCAAGTCAGGCCTTGGCTAAGTAGGATAAATCAGTAAATCCTGATATTGCTTGGGAGAATGAGTATCCAGGGTTATGCACCACATACCAAACAGGGTGGTCAACCGTGGTTAGGAGAGATTGCGAGGGATTACGAATTGATTGGAGTTGACATGGGTTTACGAACAAGTTGTCTAAGGCAGCTAAGTCCGTTCCTTCGGGCATCCGGAGTCAGGGCATGGGAGCCCAACTTACCCCCAACCTCCATCTCCCCTGGTTCCATGAAAAGTACGGCCTGGAGGAAAGATGCCCTTCGCTGGTCGAACGAGCGCACTGATGGGGCAAAACGAGCGGTATAGATGAACGCCTTTTGCTCTGGGATTCCTTATTCGAGTTGTTGTTGTTGTTTTTTTGCCAACATGATGCCTGGTTGGTGTGACCGAAATAACCAGTGATTCAATTGTTTGTTTGTGTTTTTTTGTTGGGAGGGGTCAAAGACCAACACAAGTTTGCTACTTCTTGCGTCTGACAAGAATACTTTTTGGGCATACTCCGTCATTCCAGTTTCTGCTGCAGTGAGCACCCAGTTGTTCTATAGCAGTACCCAAGCCCACGAATTCCTTACAACCATGGTGAGATATGGTGAGCCAATTGAGGGATTCCACCCATCCTAGCATATCCTAGCATATTCTTAATGTGCTTTGCGCTGCTTGCTAGCAAACATTTGGGGTATGGATGCTTGACATAATCCCGAATCCACATACAAAGCGCACAGTATTTGCGGCTGCCAGCCACTCAAATCAAATGTTGTTTGCTTGGCATCAGTCTGGAGTTACTTGGAAGCATGGACGTTTAGGTAGGGAAAACCAATTTGATGCCGTCAAACCGCCTCCGTGCTGGCCAACGTCGAGATCTTAAAACTGGCTTCTCTGGGACTTCGCTGGACAGCAGGATTTTTGCCGCCATGGACTTCAATGATTTTGCGGAGCCGGCTCATGCTTTATGCTTTCTGTTTTCTGTGCAGACTCGCAAGCTCTTTTCTATGTGCCTGTCAGACTCCGTCCTCAGATCCGGAATGAACCTTACTCGCCTGGTACATGCAGAAACTCTAGCGGCCTTGAGATTGCCTGTGCGTTTGTTTCTCCACTGGGTTTCTTGCTTAGCCTGTATGGCCTGTAGGCCCGCTGATCACCAGCTTTCACAGATTTTCACAGATTTTCACAGAGTCGCAGGCCTTGCGCAAGGTGTCAGGCTTATCCTCAGCCAACCCGACTTCGAAACCGCTGCGTTGGCTTCGGCGCTCGCTTCCCTTCCGGGGTGTGAGGTCTTTGGGTGGTTCGGCCTGGCCGCCCTTTTCTTGTTGATGTCCGCCGCTTCGGGGGGCACGGAAACACGTGCGCATGGCGCAATGGCCCCAAGCCCAGCACCTCCGACAGAGGATGGTCATGGATCCCTTTGGGGGATGTAGATAGCCATGGCAAGGGTTGCGTGTCGTTGTCATTTTCCCGTGGCCTTGGATAAAAGCCTTCGTAGTTTCGACCATGGCTCATGTGGCGCGCCTTCCAACGGAGGTACAATGGGATGCCCCCAGACAACGCTGGCAAGTTCAAGGCTTGGCTGCAACAGCAGAAGCCTAGCTGCGAGTTGGTCGGAACCCAAGGGTCCGGTTTCCAAATGGAGGGTCCCCCTGAAAATGATGGCTTTCAGGGGTCCATGATGTTCATGTTATTCGAGAGGACAATTGTTAGTGTTAGTTGCAAGCCGAGAGGAGCCCGTCATTCCAAGAGTCTGTGTTTGAGAGACATTTCAAGTTTATCCTTGGCGGTTTTAAACACACCTTGTTGCCAATTCTGAGCGAGTCAAACAGCATGTGTTGGGACCTGTTGGGGATGCCTTGTTCTTTGCCAGCGAGGAAGGAGGGGGCCCTCAAGGGCTTGCACTTCGCCGTCTTTGGCGTGGGCAACTCGCAGTGGCACACCTACCAGCAGTTCCCACGGGAGGCGATTGGCCCTGAACATCCCATTTTGTTGGGTGGGTTGGGACCCGCGAAAAATCGTCAACCCCAACCAGGTTCCTCGGTTCTGCCAGGGTCGCTGAGGCAACTGGGAATGGGTTCGGGGAGTTTGGAATGATCCGAGCCCAGCCCAACCTTGCAGGGCAAACCATCCCGTTGCCCCCCCCCCCCCCCGGCACGGAGTATTTGCCACCGGGAAATTGTTTGAATGGAGATGCCAGGTGCTATGTAGCAGCTAGCAATCCCATGAACGTGACTCTCTTCTTGGGACCCTTTGAACGGGTTTGTTTGACCCACTCCAAATCCGAAATCCAGGGCTTTCCCTGGACCTCTGGTTGGTCAAAATCAAACCCTCGGAGGGCTCGGCGATCGATTCTGTACTTGGGCGCTAAATAGGCCGCTGCTTCAAACAATCTCAACAGCCGTGGTTGCCCCACGTCGCTTGGCGTTTTGGGACCGCGGTATCCCTTTTGGTAGCCTCAGTCTCCTAGTTATTTCAGGACACACCCGTATCTTGGAAGGTGTGTTTATTTGCAAAAATTGGACCCACCAAAAGCTGACCGCGGTGTTCTTTTGGTTTCCGTGACAAATGCAGAGACCAACATCTAACGGCCCAACTGGCCCAACCGTTTGACCCTTGAGTAGGCCCTCCTGCTACCAATTGTTGTTTGGGGATGTGGTCTGTTGCCGGGGCACCTAGGGGCACAGCGGTCGTGGTTTATCCATGTTCAGGCGGTTTGTTTCTTGCGTCTTTTGCGAATTTGTCTTCTTGAAAAGGATCCCCTGTTTCAAGACGCTTCCATATGTTGGAAAGGGTCTCCAAATTGCAGTTGAGGATGGTTTCACTACCCTCAAACCACTCCCTTCCAGATTTAATGGCGTTTAATGGGATGTTCAGCCGCCGTAAAATATGCAGCGTACCCACATTTTTGCTGGGGATTCGATAGTGGTTTGGGGGAACTTTGAATGTTTTCCGGCCAACCCACTCAGGAAGTGGGTTTCTACGGCGCGTTTACTGTTCCTTCTTTCTCGAACGCCCCGGCCCCGGGAAGAAAGAAAAACACGAGGTGGACGCCGGGCTGGTGCGGTGTGGAGGCAAAGCAGTGCTGCCTTTGGGGAAATGTGACGTGGATACGTCCTCCTTCGCGTCGGACTTCGAGGACTGGCTGGCCAACCTGATGCAGGCGAGGGGCAGGGGCCCTTCGAAGGGAGGTGACTCTGCCCAGAGTGGATTGCTTGAGCGCCCTTCTTTACCTATGGCCACTGGGGGCCTCCAAAAAAAAAGCAAAGTGCATATATATATATAATATATATATATATACTGACCCCCAGAACATTCTGCCTCACAATCGAATATACAAGCCAACGCTAAGACCAAACGTAATGTTTCGTGTCGGCTGACTGGCACAAATATTTCGTTATAATCAATTCCATAAATTTGATTGAATCCCTGGACTACCGAACACGCTTTATACTTATCTAATGACCCATCAGCCAAGTACGTGATGGCAACCGTCCGAAACCCTATTGAGCAACCCGCTCCGCAACCCTTCGGAAACTTCTGGAACCCCCGGACCCCCCCTAAAACCCTCCGGCGCCCTACCTCAGAGGGGCGGAGGCCACATAGCTTTCAGCTGTTGGGGAACTTCACGCAACATTGGTTTAATCATGCAGCAAGAGGATGTCCCTAGTAACTCACTGCAGCTAGCTGATGTGCTTGTGTCCAAGGAGCGAATGAGCAAATTGGGCGACCGATTTCATGAAGATTCTCTTCGCGGGCCTTCCTTCAGGTCAAGTTGTTATTGCAACGGTCATGACTTGATTGGTTTTCTCGGCAACCCCACATTCCAGGTATTTAGCGCCTTTTATCTCAACTTTGCAGAGGGTTTAGGTATTTTGGTGACTCGGAGTTGGCCCTTCTCAATGGGAGCCTGCGCTTTAGGCAGGCGCCAACACCGTCAGGCCATCGGCGCGGCGGTCACTGCTGAGGAAGGCGAAGACATTAACGGCAGTGAGGAGTTCGTGCTGGACGCTCGACCCAACCGAGATCCCTTTTGAAGTGCATGTTAAGGCCCGCCAACTATGGACCAGCAATTCCGAACATATTTTCTGGGGTTGGGAGCAAAACCTGAGAAGGGGGGTCCCTTCAAAATTAAATTCTGAAAAACATGCATTTTTCCCATGGGTTGTGGCGACCTCGTCTAGGTTTGCGACCGATTTTGCCCCATGGAGGATTTCTTAGGTGTGTGTGTGTGTGTGTGAACGATTCTAATTTGCCCAGGCCGACCCGGCCTGTGTTTTCTTGGGTGGCGAGTTGAATGCTAACAGCCAAAGCAACTGTATGCTTGTCGCACCTGTGAGTATTGCTTGCTTCTGACTGCCTGACGCTCTCTGAATGAAACAGAGGAAATCCATTTGGGGGGGGGGTGCCTCGTTTCAGCAGTACAGTTGTCCTCGCGAAGAATCTAGAGCCCTATGTCTCACTCCCCAAATGTCTCACTCCCTAAGTTCCTGGAGAAACAAAACACGGTTTGATGTTTGTTTGCCCAATGCAGTCAGAAACTGAGATTTCTTTTTTTCCGGAACCTTACCTCAGAGCTGATCTGGCAGAAGCTTATTTGGGCAGAGATCCCATCGCTTTCAATGTTGAACAATCATTGTCCTGTAGCTGGTTTCTTAGATGAGTGAAGTCAGCCGAGGAGAAGGGACCTTTGGACAAGCTGACCATCTGCAGAGATGCCGGTGCAGCAATCAGCGCCATCCACGCCGGCAAGGCTCGAATCCGCAGTGAAGCCTGCGAGCGTTCTTGAGGTTGCCCGAGTTACTAACTATCCTTCCTCTTTATCTTTGCGGGGTTTGCTCTGAGGCTATGAATTTCAATTTGGGCACATATTCTACTTACAAGTGAGACCGTTCATGATAAACGGGATAGCGGCAGTAATGGCGGAACGTGGTTGTCTTTCGGGGTTCGCGCCAAGTGTTCGTTTGGTTTGCCCTTTAGTTTGCCCAATGGTTTGACCTTAAGCCCAACACATGCGTGTTGTGTTTGTTTTTCTCTTTTCCTCTTGCAACTCCTGTTCCTTTGGTCTCTCAACAGAAAGGGGTACGAATGGGGTGGGCTTTGGTTTCCTCAAAACAGCCAACTCAAATGCAGGGTTCCCTTCAACAGAAAACGCACCATACTAGGGTGGCCACCCGACTTGGTGGCTACCAGCCCTAAGAGTCCCCTAAGCAGGATTCCCTCTACGTACAACCCACTGACTTAGTGACAGGGTTGGACACATAGCCTCTTTTTTTTCCGCAAGCTGCCTTTTTTTTGTGGGGGACGATATCAGCATGAAGAATCCTTGGGGCTTGGGGATCCAATTCTTAGCAATATATTTCTAGTTGTGCGGCTAGCTTGGTTACTTCCAGCGCAGTCAGGGCACCGATGGGTACAAGATCACATTCGTCCGTTCCTGCAGCGCGGTGGTCTTGGGCAATTGCAGAAAATTTGTTACCTTCAAACTGTGTGGTGTGATACTCGCTTCCAGTGGCGGTGCTTCTTGTACCATCCTGTGTTGGGCTCTCTGCATAAATATGGGCCAGCGGTTCAGTGATGGTGTCAGTGGTGCCTGGCATGGAGGCACCAACATCTATTTGTCTTCCATTTATGTTGTCTTGAAAGAGGAGCAATCGTTTCTTGGTTGCACGTTTCAAAGGTATGGGTGCCCGTACGCGTCGTTCCGTTGTTGGCGGGCATGTGTTTTTCCGGACCCCCCATATAGCCGGCAGACCGCCTGAGTTGGGTGGCAGGCGGTTGCGCAGAAAGAGCTGAACCTCCAGGTGCAGAGCAGCTCGGAGACGATCCGATCGCTCGACCAGGAGGAGGGTAGGTCTGCTTGGCGTTCTGGCTTGTTTCACATGGAAACCAAAGGGAGGCTGCCCGTTTTTTTTGGGGTTCAGCATATTGAGACACAACAGGAAGCCTGGAAGGGATGGTTTCGTTTTGTTTTGGTCTTTGTTCCGCCCAAACAAGTTGGCTTCTTTCTGAAGAATGCTCCGGACCCATTTTGTTGGGCAGGCCCTGGACGTATTTTTCTCACTCCAAGGCAAGATCGAGAAGCTCGAGGTGGCCGAGGCTCCCCGGGAGCTGTGCCAAGACGCGTCGGTGCGCTCCGTGCGCCATGCGCCTCGGACATGACTCGAGCGCGGTGACCCTCGGTTCGGAGGTACATCACGGAAATCAAACAGTGCTCTGGGGGTGGCTGGTTTGAAGGCAGACAATAGGGTGTCTGCCTTTTGACCCCCATTTGAATTCGAGCTTCATTTTTGATCGGGGTGATGTTTTGAAGGGGACGTGTGGGTTTGTCTCGAAATCAGGGCACCCGGAGAAGCGGTCGGCGTGCCTTCAATTCAAAGTCAGCCCAGAGCGAGAAATGGGTCTTCGGAATGCCCAGCTCGGGTGGCTGAGGAGCAGGACAGTTCTGGCAAAGTTTGGTCCCGACGTTTTAGCAAGCTTGGGTTGTGGGAATCGGAGTATTGGGCCGGGGGGTTTTCGATATCAATGCTTACTCCGGATGCCAGATGACAATGTCAACCTGACATTACCTCGAGAACCATACTAGTCGGAGGAAATCGACAATTTCTTAGGAAGATAGACATGTCCTTACTAGAAGTCAACCATTTCGGGTTGACCCCCTCCGAAGCTAAATCCTTGCAGGGTTCCTTCTCGTTGGCGTCCCACCTCGGATTGCGGATTAGAGATCCCCGGCTTACAGTTAGGAGGAAGGCAGCCAGGATGTTGCATTGCTTCGAGCCTGTTCGACGTAGAAAACATGCTAGGGCCTGCATCATTGTACACAAATTGTGTTCCCAAGGCCGTGACGTTATTTGGTTTGATGGCAACCCAGTCCATCAACTTAGGCCCTTTTGAGCGGCTCCCACGACAACGCTGCCCAACTTGACTTGCCAAGCCCCGGCAATTGAAATTGAGACTTCACCAGCTGGGCGTTTGCGATTCCTTCAGTAGGGTACCTACATCTTCGTTTTGTGAGTTGCGTAACATTTACTTGTGTCAGTTGTTCAAACATATGCGCAGCCCTATGCTTGAGCCATGTTTCCATTTACAAAGCGCAGAAATGGGGTTGTTGGATTTGGCAGAATGTACATTTGGCAGCTTCCTCCCAATTGCCTCAGTGAGACATGTCAAACCTTTGTTTGCCATCAGTTGATTGCACCTACTCCTTTTTCCCCAGAGTGGTCAATTTCCAGAAAGTCCCCTTTTTCCTACCAGGGTCACTGGTTGCACATGAGTTTCTGCTCAGGTTACCTTCCGCCTGCCAGAGGGTGTAACCTACCGTGCAGGGGATCACTTGGAGGCGAACCAATCGGGGGCGTGGGGCCTTTGCCCAGTTGATGTTTTGCACTAAACAGAATCAAAGGACATCTTTGAGGCGCCCTTTGATTGGTTGCAATCCCCTTTGTGGGGGACTGAACCATTCAAACTTTTCCCCCTACATCTATCCCCAGCCAGAGGGGCGAATTCTCGGGGCACGTTCCACACACCAACTGTTGCTTGGGCGTGATTTCCATTTCGGAGGGAAATACCGGCAGAAGGGGGGTCCATTGAAGTGGCATCGTCCATGTTTGGCAAGCCTCCCTTCGGATGGCCATCAACTTGTGTGCACCCTTCATCCTGATGCCATTGGGCATTGGACTTGGGGGAACCCTAAAGCGGTTCAAAGTGCTCTCAAATCTCCACACAAGACACAATCAAAGCGGATGCGTAGTGTTTGTTTGAACTTATGAGCTGGTAAGCAAGAAGGGTCCAGGCTTTGCCTGTTGCGAGGTATTCAAGCTTCCTCCTGAAACTAGGTTGGTATGAGTTGGTCGCTTGTCATAGCTCGGAAAATGTGTGTGTCCCCAAACAACGGTGAAAGGGTTCCCTCAAAGATCAACACCCCATCGGACACATTCTTGGGCGAACTTCCCGATTCGTTTCTAAAATCCTCCTTTCCACACAACAGTTGCGAACCAGGGAAAACGGCTGGTTCTTGAAAAGACCAATGCTCGACCTCGATTGAACTGGAAGCAACCACGCATTTGTGTGCTTGATTGAGGGTAGACTTTTCAGGGTTGGTTCAATATAAAGGGAAACTCAAGGGAACCCCGCATTTGAGGGCTCCCCTGTTTTTCCACATATTGCATACTCATTTAATGACAAACATAGGATACCGTGCCCGCTTGAGGATACCCTCTTTCTTTTTGGGGGGGGGGGGGTTAAACGGAAACCCCAAAAACCCATTTCGAGGGGCTAGAGACAAAGCGCAGGTGATGCCCCCGAATGACCCGGCGCTGATCGACCTCGTCCTGGACGCCCTGGGCCTGACCAAGGACCAGGTGATCTGCTGGAACCACGCGAAGCGCGGGGACTGGGTTGCCGCGGGCTCTCGATGCGTTTCGGGGTTTCCGGTGGCTGAAACACAACCTGGAACATCATGGCGCCCCTTCTGGCTTCAGTTTGGTTGAAGATTGATGGATTCCACCGTGATTCCACTGGTTTCAATTTGGCTTTGATCATCTACCAGTGGCAAAGGACACCAGGGTCACGCCAGCCTTCGGCCGTGAGTTGCTTGGATTCCCTTCGACAAGTTAGCATATACACAACAGGAAGGAACCTTTGGTTTTTTGACAAAGAGTGTGCTTCCCATAGGAGGGAACAGACACCCCGTGGCAGAAAGGTAGGGCTGTGGTTGCAACATCAGCCAGTGCAAAGGTGTGGCTTTAGGTGTCAACATAGAAAGGGGGTTACTTGGACAATTGAGGTCAGTGCGGCTCTCATTCAGGCTGGTGTTGCAGGGAGGGACATCCAGTATAAAAGCATCATGTTCTTGGTTTTTATCCCACGTTTGCTGTTTTCTCCACTAAAGGAAACGACAAAGGGAAATGGAACACAAACGGACACCCACCATTTTCCAAAAATGAGTATACGCGCAGAGGCGATCGTTCCACCGGACGGGCATGGGGACTTTGCAATCATATTGTGTTTGCTTGGTTCCCACTCAAAACGGTCCATCCACACCAAAAAAGGATTCCCGTTGTCTAGGGTGAGCTGGGTAAGCTGATTACCAGGGGCCATGTGCAGAAGTACATCCCAACTTGTTTGCCTTTCATGCGCCAAGATAGAAGGCAGCTATACTTCACTTGCCCTTGAAGAGGACAAACTGACCACCAACAAAAAGAAAGCTGTTGAGGAACCAATCCGTGTGTGAGTGGGTGGGCGTATTGCCGACATGAGTTTTAACAATCTTATCATGTTCCAATTCAACAATTTCTTGTGCGCCAAGCAATGAATGTCGAACACTCTGAGAACCTGTGCAAATGCATCGCGAAAACGATGCAGTCGGGCCAAGGTGACACACGGCAAGACTCGAATCGAGTTTCGACCCCCAAGGCTCCACCTGCACCATGTAAAGCTCATGCACCTGATTGTCCAACTTGCATATAACATCACTATGCAGGCCCGTAAGGCAAAGGTTATCATCATCCTTATTCACCATTTTAAGTGTATGCACCCAATATTCAAGTGTATATTACCACTGTTCATGCAGTCACATGCTAAATAGTATACTATATTTATATATACACACATACACCAGGGAAAAGGGCGAGGGTCTCAGCTGACACGCTCTTGTTTGGATCAGGAGAAGTGGCGCAACGACTCGGACGAAAGGATTTGGTCCAAGATGCCGATCATGTACATCACGACCTTCCTGGCCTTGCAGCGCCACGGCACGACAAAAAGTGTGAAACGACAGCCAAGACTTCTTGGGTTTGCTGTTTTCCAGGGTAAGCTCAATATGATCAAACCTGGGTAGAACATGGAGTCAGGTTCTCTTTACCCCGCCAAACATGGAGGGGGGGGGGGGGCGGGGTGCACCGACTCCAATTTGGAAGAATGTGTTGTTTTGGGAAAAGGTTGTCCTGTGCAAGTCGAAGTTTGGGGTACCTGCCATTGGGCTCGCTATATGCCTGTGTCTCAAATGGGGCTCAACATATTCAGAACCCTCACATGTCTCCTTTTAAGCCCGCTAAGACGAGGCTCCCCGTTTTTAATTGGAGAAAAAAAGGCGGTGTTTGGGGAGGTCTAGGGAAGCCGCCACGTGTCGTTGGCCCAGGTGGTTTCCCAACCTGGCGGCCAGCCCGGATCGCAAGATCTGCGCCAAGCTGGCGCGGTTCGTGGATCCCAACTCCCCGGAGGCTGCAGAGCTGAACCTCGGCCCTGCTCGGGCTTGATTTTTTTTTTTTTTTTTTTTTTTTTTTTTTTTAAGAGGGTTCCATTTTGTTTGGCGGTTCTGAAGAAGGCCAAAAGGAAAGACATCAGTCTGTGGGTCCCCTAAAAACAACACTCCCACTACTTGAATGCTATTTGGTTGGATGTTGAACCTTTGACTCTTCGGCAAAACGCGTATCTTTCTTCCACGAATCGACACACAGTACGTTTTGCACTGGGCGAAATGGCCACACAGAAAGGGGTTCCGATCGCATGTAAAGGACATCTGAAAGGAACCCATTTTGTTAAACACTATGCAGCGGATCACCCAATGAATAGCAATCATCATCGCTCATTTCCCGGAAAGGCAGCCAAAAGGGGAATGCTATGTTTTTTGGGTTGGCACCCCATATGTAGCACTCAGGGTTATTGTTGATTTTGTGTGTTCTTGATGGTGTGTCCTCCTACTCTTGTATCTTATTCCTTTCTTGCTTTCGTGCTTTGTTTTCATTCATGTTGTTTGTTCATGTTGTTTGTTTCTCGTTCTGTTGCCAGTTGTTTGGGATTGTCCCTGGCTTGTTTTGTTGAGGGTATTCAATGTTCAAACGCAAAACACAATTGTTCTGTTGTGTTGTGTCCCTTCGTGTAGGATTGTTTCCTGATGTTCCTTTATTTGCCGTCTCCGTTTTCGGGATTAAGTTGTTCCCTTCCTTGGCGTTCCGAGCCATACCCTTAGACTTTTGAGTTGTGAATCGGGTGTATGGCATGCCCCACTGAAAGTTTAGCTTGCAGCAAGGGATCTTCGAAGCAGCAAGCTCCAAGATAGACCACCCCAAAGTGAGTTCCTCTTGGGACGTTCCACTGGAAACCGGTGAGGAAAGCGCTGGCGGACCCGGAGACGCACAAGACGAAGGCGAAGCACAGGGATCCGGAATCGAGATTCAAAACTTTATATTCAAAGGCAACTCTTAATCCTTTCCTTGGTTTGCATAAGAGGTGCGAAGGGGTCTGTTTCTAGGGATTCATCATTAGGATTGGCCAACCCTCCATTTGCAGCAGCCCAGTCAGCTGTTTCTCTTTTGTGATTTCTCCTCGAAAAGTGGCCAATACCCCTTGTTTTTTTCTTCTATTATGAGTGTGGGTCTCCCTTTAAAAACCAATTGGCCCGAAGATGGGGTCCTGCATATTTGTCTATGGCTGAAACTGTGCCACACAGTTTCCCTTTGACATCAGCTAACCGAAGAAAAGGCAAGTCTTTTTTGATAGAGTCCCCTGGTTTTCTCCAAATCAATTGAGATCCTAACAAGGGCCTGATTGAGGTCTTTTTGGAGTAAGCCTGGGGTCGGGGATTGGATCATGATTTTCTCCCATAGGCCAGCGAGTCAATGGTTGTTGTCATGTTGCTCTCCCGTAGCACCCTCAGCGGCCCACAAACCGCCCTTTGTTGGGGTCCCCCTATTCTGACACATACCCATGTTTCCTACTTCAGCCTATGTCCTGTGGTTGTGAGGGCCCTCATTGACACCTAGCTGACATTTAATACCTTTGAATCATTCAAGCGTGTCAACCTCAAACGATTCGCCTCAACACGTTCAGGTCGTGACAAAGCCCGCATGTGAAATGGTAGAAGGGTTCTGCGTAGGTATGTGTCAAATAGGGGAACCCAAGCAATTGGTGTGTTCCTTTCGGGTTCCCTTTATGCCAACCTGAAAAGGGCACCAACTGAAAAAATACGCGTATTCCCGGAGCTTCGGCCCGACGCGAGCTATGACGCGGCCAGGTAGCACAGCTTGGGCTTTCGTTGGCGGAGCTGGTTCACCGCTTCAAGGGCAGCTCGGAGCTGATACCCCCTTGGAACTGGTCATTTTCCAGTATCACTGTGTGCAATTGCCACAACAGGGAAGCCACGCTTTCGAGCTCAGAATGGTCCATGTCATTTTGGCGCGGCAGGAGTGCATTGCATGTTCATTGGATTCCACTCTCTAAAGCCATGTTTGTTTAGCTTTTTGGGCCTTGTATCCCTTGCAAACGTGGTTAATCCCATTCTTCCCGTTTTTCTTACCGTTTGGGCCACTGGTTGCACAGTTTCAAGCCACTCTTGTAAGTAGCAGGGTGCATCTTATTGCGGAAACGCATATGGCCTGCTAAATGTTTAGGATTCTTAGAGGCATGTCAAACTTGTCCGCAGAAAAAAGAGAGCAACAGGACTGCCCCAATAAAAAAGGAAAGAATAGGGAACTTGTGGTAATTAGGAGGTGAGATTTCAACGTGCTCCCGTGAGACACCAAGTCATGAGGGCGTCCTTTTTGGCACCTACCCTTTCAAGATGCTGGGTGAATTGTGGAACCTCACAAAGGGGGTTCGCAACCTCCCATGATGCAGCTTCTTCTTTTTTGTGGAAATTTTATTTTGGTTTTGGTGAAGCATCATTCCTGCATATATATATATAATATATATATATATATATATTGATCCATCGACTTTCTTTCAAGGTCAATACACCGGGTATCTTAATTTTTACCTTCATCGGGGTTATCATCATTCTTCAAGATGGATCTCTGTAAACTTGACTGTTCCAATGCACATTCTTAGACTTGCAGACTTTAGATTTTAAGGGATGTATTACATATCCGGCTAAAAGTTCAACTTCGAGCAAGGGAACCAGTACGGGTATCCTCATCCTTCGGCTTGAGGCACCCTTTTTTTGCCAGCCCACAACCTGTTTTGCTCGAACTCTCTCCCTGCCTCTGCATTTTGGGGTCCAAAAAGCAGCTTAGACGGTCGAACAAACGGGATCGGCCTCCTGAGGCAAGCTCACCTGCACCCTGGGAGAGTTGGTGGCCATCGCCCAGCCGCTGACACCTCGCCGCGACTGGGTCAAAAGATAGGGGTACGTCTTTGCGCTTGGCTCAAATGATGGTTGCGGTATGATAGATGGCTGTGGGTCAAAACCAATGGTAGCGTTTTGGGGTAGGCGCACCACCCATTTTAGTCTCTTTTAGTTGGGATTGGAATGTTCACTGGGGGTCCATGGATTTTGACCCATGGCCAGATAGCAGGACATACCACCATCGCAGGCTTGGGATTGAAGATGGACCAAGGCTACAGCATCTCCTCGAGCCCTGACAAAGACAAGCGCTTGGTCACCTGCACCGTCGGCCAGGCGCTTCGAGGGGGGCCGCGATGCAATCGCGCAAGCCGCTCATTTTGCGGTTCTCACGAAAGGGTCTGTCCTTTTTGCTGGGTGCCCATTTTTACGCACTTGTTTTCAGGGAAGCCAAAGGACAACGACTCACTTGGTCCGCCCATTTTTGAGACAAACCTAAATTGGTTCTGCTACAAACGCGGCGTTTCAAGCGGAAATCTTTGCATTAGAACCTGTCAAAGCGTTCGCAAATTTGTCGGTTTCGAGACTGGTGAGCCCTGATGCGCCAGAGCTTTGTTGCCTTCGGCCTTCGCTCAAAATTGCACGTTGCACGGACTTGCTCAAAATCCGAGTTTCAAACATGTAGAAATTGTATAATTCTATAGTGGTTGAAATAATTGTCTTCGTTTGTTGGGGACTGGAATAGTTGAAGCTGCCAACCCCAGAAATGGCTGCTGATGTTGACAAAGGCACACGTACAGCCCTTCTGACGCGCCGGTTGCCGAATTGTTCATTATAATGGTTGAACCATTGCGTCTCGGTCGCCAACCTTTGGCTGGGGTGATGTTTGAAGGGGATGCATAAGGGTTTACTTCGTCCTCCACATCCAACCTGTGGCGTTTCCACAGAACCCTGGCACGACTACTTCAAGCAGGGGCTACCATTTGGGCAAGTTAAATCAGGCCCTCTCCTACCCCCAAATTTGTATCGTTACCTGTAACGGTTCCTTTCTTGGCATTTTGCAACGGGGCTGTCAAAAGATACTCCCTGGATGTTTGTGGTCCCAAGCTCAATTGGAGTTGGTGCCATTGTTTCGTTGTTTTCAAAGGAAGGCAGGGGGACGGCACATATGATTTTTGGAGGTGTGTTGAGACCAACCGACCCATGGGTCCGATATGTTGCGAGTGAGTGGGCTTGCCTTTTGACTTGTCTTTTAGATTTCATTTCGCTTCCAGCAAGGAGTTGTTCACCACTCATCGTTCGATCTACTCCGCTTGCCGACCCTGTCGATGCGGCAAAGAGCTTGCTTTTTGCAGGCTACCATGGAGCCCAACCCCGAAAAGGAGATTCCTCCCGGTGTTTGCGGCTCCGTGAATTGGTCAGGACATTGGAAAGACCCGCGGTCCCTCGACCCACAAAACGTCTCTCAGGTGAAGTTCACCACCGGCACGGGGCGACTCCACAACGGCCTGGCCTCCACGTGCCTCTGCCAAAAGCGGCGAATCGGTGGGTGTCCATCTCCGGTTTTCCACCCCAAAAAGGCTTGTCCGGTGGGTGTCCATCTCAAGCCACCAGCAAGCCACCCCAAAAAAAGAGGGTTCCTAGAGGTAGTCAGTGACTGCTTTTTTCAGTCACTGTTGGTTTTTGGGGTGAAGTGGATGGAAAAAAGCCGCTGGCGATCCAGGTTCTCTCTCCAGAAAGGCGAACCCGGAGTTAGTCAGGTGGAGTTGAACTCCGGATCCGAAGATGGAGGTAGATTATCCTTTTCGGGCAATTGAAGCATCGCCTGTTGTGGCAGCTTTAGAGAGACTTTAGAGTTTCCTCGTGTTAGTTATGGGGACTTGTAAGTGGTTGCATTCCAAGGATTTCTCAAATTACTTCTGGGTGCGGTTTCCCTTTATCCCAGCATTTTGAGGATGTCACTTTAATTAGCCAGTTGAACCCGCCCGGAGCAACTATCGGATGACCATTAGAAACCATCAGCAAAGTCCGTATGTATGTGTATATCATGTATAAAAGGGGCTGCATCATTCTCCACATGCACAGCCATGATCATCCCATGATCACGACTTTGGTGTTTTTTAAAGTACCCGGTACTCCCACTAGAGTCATTCAGGCCCGTACCTTTGACTCCCTGGAAATCAAGAGGGAGGGTACTGGTTCTGACTTTCCGACTGGTTTTGTTTGTAGGGTCCTGTTTGACTGGCCATTTGGGCACAACATAAAACATGTTGTCATTTTCAGGGAATGTTTTTTGGGGAGTGGCAGACACACAAAGTTCAGGCTTTGTTGGGCAAATCCACTCAGGAAGCTAATCCAAAGTGAACACATGGAGCTAATCCAAAGGGTTCCGGCTCAAAACCAAGTCCTTTGCACCTGTGACCTGGGGCTTGGGTTGCCGATAAAACTACCTTCAGAAAGTCCCTGTCAATCAACCTCCTATGCCGAGGGGGGGGGGGAAGCACGAAACACAAGTTTCTCAGTTGCTATTGTTTTGTTTTGTGTGTTTGTGTTTGTGTTGCTCTTGCCCGTGTTTTATCGTTTTTCCGCCTGTGCTTGTTCTGGTGTCTACTGCGCTTTGTCCTCACTTGCTAGGCTGGGTACCAAGATGCCCCATGTTTAGATGGTTTTCACATAATATGTTCTGGGGTCGATACGTACATTTTCCTCCAAAGGAGAGGCATTGCCCTGACAGACATGCGTTTGCGTCTTGATTTGGTTGACATCGGAGAACCACTCAAGGGTTTCCCTACCTCGTGTTTGCGCCTTTATGGAGGCTGTGAGCCATGCCCTTCAGTTTCCACCGTCGGTCAGTGGTATGGTTTCGCCTTGACTGGATAGATGCGTGCCATGCTCCAAAGACCCCCTTTATTTGATTTTATTGAGATGGTCATCAACCTCTTTTAAGGGACCCGTCCCACATTGGAGATTCGTGTCGGTGACGAATGTTGTGCTTTTGACGTTGTCAAGATCCAAATTGTTTATTGGGGGGGGTTTCCCTTTTAGTTTCTCCGGATACGCTGTTGGTTTTTTGATGAGTCTAAGTCTGATCGACCTGTTCTAAAAGGAGGACGGGTTTGACAAGCATGGTGTGACATGCTCAAGACAGCCCAAGTTTGCTTGGGAAAGTCCCCGTACATCATTGAGAAGGGTATGTCTCCTGGTGTGGGATCCCATTCCGCGGACACCCCAAGCTGGCGAACCATGATCATGTGCCGTTACTTGGTCCTGAGGATGGATTTCTCTATTGTTTGCAACAACCCCCCAAATCCTGTCAGATTCAAGTGTTCATATGTTTGTGTTTGAGTTACTTAACATCACATGCTGGTCCATTTCAAATTGAGTTTCTAATTTGGGTGACGTGTAAAGGGGCCAAATGCCCCCTCTCCAACCAACATAGAAGTGCACAGGTCCAGGTTCCTTCCGGAAGACTACAGTCCTTTTTGAGAAGGGTCGGTGCACTTCCATGTATTTTGGTGGGAGGGCATCTCACTAGACTTGCCAGTTGGCTGGCAGTCGCTTGCCCAGTGCCCAGAAGAAAATCAGTGACCGGTTTCGCGGACGGAAGAATACAGCTTGGTGAAAGCAGATTGCACGATTCCCCCCATTTTGGTTTAGTCACCCCCTGTTTTCATCTTTCAGCCGGATGTAAAGCACCCTCTCACCATGGAACAAGACTAAAGGGCTCCCTTGAGGGAAAGCGCGCCTTCCGGGAATCGGTTTGGGTTCCCCGTGAGGGACGGACTGTCCTCAGTGCCACGCGAGGCACCTGGGGAACCTGCCGAAGGGCGCCGTGCTGCCCGGACAGCTGCGGCCGGTGGACCAGTTCCGCCTGCCCAAGGATCCAGAGGCGACCCGGCGTGAGTTGGGGCGGGTTGCTCACTTCGGTTTCTGGACTCCGTGGTGTGCACTTCATACTTGGGAAGCCCACTTTAGCCTACCAGTGTGGACTTCGTTGGGCCAATCCACTGAGGAAGTGAGTTAGTGAGATGGGGCGAGCGGCATTGGGGCTCGGCAGCGTTTCTGGAACCTGATTGATATAGCATTTTGTTTACATTCCGACCTCCTTTGATGGGTGAATCGAGGTGAATCACAGGCACAGACTGCGACGGTGATTGACATCGTTGCGATGAAGAATGATGCATGTTTCACTCGACCACCTTGAAAGAGAATAAGTGTTGACCATAGCTCGTATGCAAGATGCGCTAGTTTAAGGCCCAAGTAAGGGCGAATCAGCGCGCTGGTGGGATCCCCCGAAGAGCTTTTCTGAGAGGCCGTGAGAAGGCCAATCTCCTTGGCAGAAGCTCGCCCCCACTCAGAACATTTCAGAAGGCTTTGGGCCCTTCTTAGAAGCAGTTTCAACCTTCGCAGAAGCATTCGCAGACGGGGGGTTGCCACTGAGAAGAAGCATTCGCAGAAGGGGGGTTGCCACTGAGAAGTCTCTTTCAAAAGTGTTGGTTTTCATGGTGTGTCCCTTCTAGATGTTTGCAATAGTGTCTGATGGTGGTGTCCCTTTCAAAAGCGGTACTTTTCCCCAAACTGCGCCCTCCTCCAGCATGATTGTATATAGGATAGCATGAACATTGAACATAGGATAGTGTACTCTAGATTCTGGCCAAGTACAAAAACTTTAAAGCTGCTTTCAAAGAGTGTCAATGCTCTTTCCCTTAGGCAGCCGTTCTCATGACAATGCAACTTTCCTCAGACACGTGGCACTGCGCAGGCGCCGTTGCTCATGGTGGGCCCTGGCACGGGGTTGGCGCCGATGATGGGCTTCCTGCAGGAGCGGGAGGGGCTGCTGAAGCAGAAGGCACCGGAGTTTGGCCGGGGGAAGGGGGGCCCTTGGGTTGTTGGGGAGGGGGGTTGTTGGGGAGGGGTTGTTGGGGAGAGTTGTGAAATGAGTTTACATCGCCAAACATTGTTTGTTCAAAGGGTACCGTCTAAAGACAACAAGTTGACCATGGTTGCGAAAGAAAACTCCGTGCGTTCGATGGCTACATTTCCACGGTAGTTCTTTGGTTTGGCAATTGCTTTTGAGAGGGTTTCCTCACTCCAAAGAAAATGAAAAAACACCAACAAATCGCGTGGGGGGGTGGGGTGGGGTGGGGTTACGATCAGAGGCTAAATTATTGACCATAGTAGTTGATTGGTTGCCAACACCCCTGGCCACAGCGCCGCTACCAACCAACACACACGCTCTATGTAAAAGCATCGACAGGAGGTTCTGCAGCTTGCAATGTGGGCACGTGTGACGCGCTTCTTCATTCGACATTCGGATGGACTACCGCAGGAGCAAACACTCAGCAATGCAGTATACAGTATACGGATTAATTCAGGGATCTCACCTAGGGGAAGAATGAGAGACCTGATGAAGGTCCCAAGAGGATTTTTTGATTGTATCGCTTCGCGCTGTCCACCTCGGCCACGGGCTATTTGATTTAGAGGTTTCCTTTCATCTTCGTGCCAGGCATGGGGAAGCTGGGCAGCTGGCAAAAAACCGCGTTCATGCCTCCCATGCGTGTAGTACAAGGGCAACGGACTCGGGGCCGCATTCCAGGCAGAAGGAACTGCACCGCTCCCGGCTCTCTCTTCAGCCGTGATGGCAGGCAGCCAGTCAACCGTATCAACGGCGGTGAGGTGATCGATCATGGCATTGTCACGCTCTGGAAGGACATTGTTCGAAGAGCTCCAGAAACCACTTGTTCAGCTGCATCAACATCAGGGTGGTTGAGCCCAACAAGACGAAAGGTGGACGGTGAGCGCAATTGCGTGGAGTTGGAAGCCAGACGCGCATACAGGGCGAAGTCCTTGCTGGCGGGTTTTGAGCTTGCCTTGTGGATTTGGCTGCGGCAGTGTTTTCCAGGTTGCAGGGAGGCAAGGACAGGAGCGAATGAAACTGCGTCCATGTGCGCTAGCATTTCGCATCACGGCATGGCCGATGGCCTCTTGTTGACTGTGCGGTCTTACTTCAGCACCCAGAAGTAATTGTAAACGCTTCGCGTTGCCCGCCTCGGCCCAGCCTAGTTTGAGGGAAGGGTCAGGAACACCGAAATCCAGTGTTGGGAAGGTCCGAATCCTACTGAAAGCTTGTGACCGCACCAGTTCGCCCGTGCTAGTTCGATGTTCGGAAGCCGTCCTGCTCGGAAGGTTTGAAATCCAAAACCAAGACTATCTCAGCTGCTCAGTGCCCTTGGAAAAAAAAGGGCCTCTTTCTGGGGATGAGCATTTTTAGTGGGGCTTGGCCTCCATAAAAAGGGGAACAATAATTGGTGTCACTGAACAACCAAGACCAACTTTGGGTGTTTGGGCACCTCCGTACATGGTGGGAATACAAACCTCCATTTGCTTAAGTACCCCGGAAAATATCCTCAATAGTGATAGTTTCCCTGTAAAACCAACAGGGGGACATAAAGAATATTCATTTCAGCAAGGATTCATCTAAACACACATCCTTCGGTCCTTCAGGATGAGAACCGCAACAAAAAACCTACCGTGTGAATTCACCTAGCAGCTTTGCAGTTGGTAGCTGGTGGTCATTTGGCTTCTACTTACATGTTCCTTCAAACACCTGGGGTTCCATATGTCCCCTTTCATGTAAGGACCCTTGTTTAAAAGCAAACCCGTCAAGTTGCCCAAGTAAAAGGTCGTCACATCAAGTTGAAATCGTCAGGACCCTTCAAGGTCCAATACGGGCTGGGCGGGCTGGGCTGAGCTGTGCTTGGGCGGGTTGCTGGATGGGCAAGGCCTGTCTCATACACACTTGGGCCTGAGGCTGGGTAGCGAGTTGCTGGCTGGGCTGGGCCTGAGGCCAGTCGCAGACACGTAAGACACGCTAGCAGGCGGGCTGAGAGGCTGGCCAAAGGGGCTGGGCCTGCTGGATGACTTGGGGCCAGACACGAGCAGGAGGTCAAGGCCTGGTCAGCCTGGGCTGAGTTGCTTGGGCAGCCGGACTGGGGGGTTGGGGCACGTCAGACAGGCTTAGTAGCTGGCGTAGCCTGAGACCAGTCTCAGACACGTGAGACTGGTTGTTGGCCTGAGGCCAGTCTCAGACACGTTAGACAAACCTGACCTTGGCACGCTGGGCTGAGCCTGCTTGCTGGTGTGGGAGCTGGGGGCCGGCCTAGTGGCTGGCATGCCCTGACTGAGATGCGCCGGGGCCTGGGCTGGGCAGGCTGGGCTGAGGTGGGTTGCTGGTTGGGCTGGGCCTGAAGCTAGTCTCAGCCACAAGGCGTAACTGCACATACGGCGCGGTTGATGCCGGGCAGGTGGTGCGGCAGGCTGGCTCCGATGCCGGGCAGGTGGTGCGCCAGGGTGAGGCTTCTATGCCAGGCAGGTGGCGCGGCCGGGTGGCGCAGTGCCAAGCCGCCGTATGACCGTATGACCGTATGATCCGTATGATCCGTATGACTCTGCGGGCTGGCGTGGCTCCGATGCCGGGCAGGAATGTGGCGCGCTAGGTATCGAAGCCTCCACGTTGGGCGAGCTAGTATATGGGTGGGCCCCTTTGGGGCCGAGGCGAATTACTGCAGAAGTTGAGGATTGAGGGTTAAAGGTGAAGCGAGGCGTGAAGAGCTGGGGTGAGGCAAGGAGGAGCCCCCGCAGGCCCGCAGTTTGGCTGCAAGGGTCTCAACAGGTTGGCCAGCTGCATGGCACCCTTCCTAGGAGTTGAGATGGCGTTTTGGAAGATTCCTCTCTGATGTAAAGAAGGATCTGACCGCTTCCCGGCCCTGAGGCTGAGGCGAACTCACGTTGGGAAATGGAAGTTCGTGCATGACTGTAGTTTGCAGACTTTGGCATGCCTGTGGCCCAGCGGAGTTAGGCGGAGCATGTGAGTGATTGTTTTTCGTTGTTTTGCTTTCGGTTTCCGAGCAAATAGTAGCGACCTCGCAAAGGTCCCGTTCTGAGAGAACCCATACTTCAGCTTGGCGATTGCTTTCTTCAATTTGCTACAGACTTTGTCGCGAGGTTGTTTTCCCATTTTCCTCATGGGTAGCTGTTGCAACTGGGCCCGTGATTTTGACTGCTTCGGGGGCTGACTTTGAGGATCTACTTCTGGGCTAGCTCGTATGATTGCTTGAAGTCAGGATTGCTTTGAAGAATTGGATGGGAACAACCGCATGGGCACTTCTTGCGGAGAGACCGCTTTCGGCAAAAAACTCGGCAAGCTGAGCTCACTGCGAGAGAGCATGCCACAGACTTCCCCCAGACAAGAATGAGTTGTGAAGTGGTTGCTTCAGTTCATTTCCGCATACTGGGTTTTTTCCCACCTCGCTTCCAGGTGAAGCTGGGTGAGGCCACCTTGTTCTTCGGCTGCCGTGCGCATGACCAGGACAATTTGTACGAGCCTTGGCCCTTTCGCTCTCCTTCCTGGGGGAGGGTATCAGTTTTGCCCTCATCAACAGGTCCATGAAACATTCATGCGTCTTTCGGTCGGTTTCGGGCTTCCCAGACCTCCATTCATACCGTTGTTTGTTTGTTTGATGTTGAGAGGGCTGCCTTTTACAGCACGGGTACAAGAAGGGCATGTTTGTTCAGGACCATTGGAGCTGTTTGGCACTCCATCGTTTTTGCGTGGTCGAACCACCCTTTTGCTTCGGGCTGGTGAGCAGGATATGGACGTTTGTTTCTTGCGCGAACCCGTTTGGGGGTGGCTTGCCAGGAAGGCCACAAGAGAGAAGACATTTTTTGGGGGGGTACCCAATTCCAACACACACTCACAATGAACAACTGGCTGGCGTGGCTCCAAGTTTGTCCTGTTCCTTTTCCCGGAGTTGTGCCAAGCTGTGCCAAACCAGGTGGCAAAAGAATGCCCTGGTAGGGATGGTTCTTAAATAGCCCGATCGAACATATCTGAGGCAGCAATTATACGGATTGCTATTATAGATACCATCGATTTTTATGGAGGGATCTGACGGTCATCAAGGGTTGAGTAAAGGGATACAGAAATTTAGACGCTCAACGTGAGGGTTCCTGTTCGGGGCGCTATGACCATGGCCCACAATTGGATGAGTTTTTGCACAGACATGCATTTGTTGTTGCTTTTTGTTTTGGAGGGGCACGCGGCCCTTGGCAATGTTGGCCCTGACTACTCTCCAACTCATTCGTCCAGTGCATTTTGCAGAGGAATCCAGCCACTCAACAAGGAGCTCACTAGATGTTGTTTGTTTTGGTAGCTTAAAAACCGGAGGTTCTAAGCTGACTTGCTGAGGAGAAGGAGCTCGCGGGTCACCTGAAGTCGGGTGCCCTGACCACCTTGCACGTGGCCTTCAGCCGGGAAGCGGAGAAGGTCTACGTGCAGGACAAGATTTGGGAGAACCGCAGCTCGGCATGAGCCGTTGGCCCGACGCGAGCCCAAAACTCCAAACAGGGGAGGTCAGGTGAGGAGACAAACCCCCTTGTAGGAGGTTTACCCGGAAACATCTGGAAACCATCCCATCTTTTGTGCAGACAGCAATTCGTCATGGGTATCCAACTAGCTGGTTTGAGCAGTTTGCATTTTTTTCATAGTATGTGTCCAAGCAGCACCCAGAGAGTGGTTCCCATGCGTCGGAACCATCTACGTGCTGATGTAAGGGGCCAAAGTCTCAGGCTTGCCTCTTGCAGCAAACTGACCTATCGGCCAAGATCCCGGGGTTGATCGATATTCCCTTCGGCCCCCAAATCACCATGGGCCCATGGGTCACTTTTCCCATTTTGCGGGAAGTATCATCATTTTTCTGCAATGGTTTTCCCCAATGGTCATCCCATGTAAAGGACGTTTTGATCAACCCCCTCACATGCGTGACCTTCTTGCGACGAGGGAAGCAACCAAGAGCTACATGCCTTCCTGTCGGCCAGAGCACAGAAGTGCAGTGTGTGAAGCCGAAGCTTCGTCTTTTCTGTCCGGAACCAATCTAAAGGCCACATTTTTGACAACCCCAAAAGTACCACCATAGTTTCTGGCAAGCACTACCTCGGCAGAGTCAGCTGTGCGCATCTGTTCCTCTGTTGTGTTGTGTTTACAGGTGTGAGTCGGTGTGAGAGAGACTGTGTCCATTTGGAGGTTGATACTGCGGGAGCGCATTGCAGTAAGAGCAACATTCCTTTTGCACAGAGCACTGCACCCACGGAGCGGTCATCATTGCAGCATGCGGTTTTGCTCAGCCTTCTACGTGATTGTTGGAATTCGACGGCAACCTTCCTATGAAGAGTCCTCATGGCATTTGGGCGTCTCATGGCGCTTCATGGTGGTTCCAAAAGCAGGGGAGCCCCAATATTTGCACCCAAAGGTGTCCCCAATTTGGACTTTCAGGCTCACTGTTGGGGTGCGCACCCTCTTGGATCAACGAGCTCAGGTTGGTGAATTCGTAGACTTTACCATGAGGAGCGAAATGATCGTAATGGGGTTGCAGCGCACCTGAAAGCCAATTTCAGTGGTGATCATAAAATAGTCATGTATATGTTTCCCTTCATTTGCCCAAATTGGGATTGTTTCCCTTCAGTACGACAGCAAGGTTTTGTGGGAGGGGGAGGTGAACAACTTCGAAGCCTTGCCCAGCCACAAGAAAGGGCCAGGTATGAACACCCCTAGAGTGAACCCGTCAGCTGACCCAGATGTCCAGCGGATTCCACATCTTGCTTCCTCCTGTTTGACTAGTTCCCTTTATGATTAGCCAGAGGCAATGCAGCTGCATTCCTTGACCTTCTCCCTTGAGGTTTCCCTTTCTGCTTCGCCCATGGCCATCCTTTGACCTTTCTCGAGGCTCTAGGTCCACCTCTGGTTTGTCTAAAGGGTTCCCCTGGTCCAACTTGTACCTTGTGGGGGTCCCTAAAATCCAAACACTCAATCTGTTTTTTTTGTTTTTTGCGTGTGTGTGTGTGTGTTTTCCCTTGAGGCTCCTCTAGGGTTTCCCGCTACCAAAAAACCGAACGAAACCCTCAAGGCGCCGCGGTGTGGAAGTCGCTGGCGGACCCCCGCTGCGTGGTCTTCGTGTGCGGCGACGCCCGGGCCATGGCTCCGGATGCGCCTCGGACGACAATGCTCGCGACGCGTGAGCGCAGCCGGAGCTGCCACATGGCGCGGGGTGGTTCTCCTTCAACCAGGATACAAAAACGCACAGCCCACATCGCCCATGTCGGATTTCCCCAAAGGAAACCAACGTGTTTGATTTTTCCAGGGCCCCTGTTTAGAAGCTATAGCAGTATTTGGACACACTGGGATTGCTTCCCATCCCACGAAGGCAATTCACGCAACTCCCAAGAATACTCTTGGCCATTTCATTCCAACTGTTTTTGTTTGTTTCCCGTGGTTCTTGTAGCATTCCAATACTATGCTGAGTCATTTCCCCTGTTTCTGGACTTGATACCTTAGTGGCAAGACCGTTTCAGTGGTCAACAACAAGTTCAGAATCGGTTTGGCCAACTTCAGGAAGTGAGATGCAACTCCCAAGCCACGCGCGCTTGAGGTCAAGCGCGCCCTGATTCGGGTCGCGGAGAGCGGGGGCCGCAGCGCCTCTTCGGCCCAGAACCTCATCGCAGCCATGGTGGAGGCGCCGAAGCAGACGTTCGATTCGGGCTGCCCTTAAGACGGGTGGCCTACGTTTTGCTGGATGTCAAGTGACCAACGTTTGGAGTCTTAAGGCTGATCAATAGTTGTTTTGGGAGGCAAATGGTATGTTCCAGCATCGATGTTGGAGGTGCTTGTATGGAGCCAATACACCATAATAGAACTGCCACATATACCACTTAAGTATTGGGGTACACACTCGCTTATTAAAATGTTGGCGTTCTACAAGGGAAGACTTCCCACAGCGCCCCCACCCCCTGAAGATGGGAGGCCGTGCTACCAGTTGGCGTATCCAAGTGAATAGATCGATTGCCTTTTGGCTTGCCTAAGATTTACGCTGGGCAACACCTAGCCACCTGCACCAAAACCTCCCTGCGATTCAAGGCCGGGCGATACCTGGAAGACGTTTGGGCTTAAGCCTCAGCCACGCAGACGAGCTGGGGCAACATGCTACTTGGCGCGGAAGCTGCGACTGTTTGCTTGGGCCCATATTGGGCTTTGTGGGTCCTAAAGTCAGCCCAGCGAGCCCTGCCAGAAAGGCGGTTTTCGCTTCTGCAATTCCATGTCTTCATACTTTCGAGGGAAAAGTATGTGAGGCTGAAGCACGCACAAGGAAAGCGCTAATTGACAGATGGAGCGAGCACCATGCACGTCACGTCGCAGGCGTATGGACAGCTGACTGTTGTTCTATTTTGAATGGAGGCATTGTTTCCACAATTAAAGGCGATGGATTTTTAAAAGGAACCACCTCAGAAGTGGTTGATGGACATGAATCTCCACCTTGAATGATGTTCACCAAAAGGGTCACTCATTGCACCTTTTGTTGCCTTGCAAAAACGAGTACCATGGCAGGTGCGGCTGCTTGGGATGTGCGGAACAAAGTTCAATCCAGTCTATCCATGGCACCTACAAAATTGTGTGGAGGGTGGGCCAAGGATCGAAAAGCGTTGAGCAGTGCAATGTCATTGGTTACATTAGTCTGCTATACAAATAGACAAGCCGATACATGTTGAAGTTGAGCAAATGACATATCAATCAGCCAATGTGTGTGTGTGTTATAAATTCAAGGCAGGGTGTGATTGGAAGTTCGTTGTTTTGAATGCTGGGCAGGTCGGGCGGATTGGCTTCGAGCTTGATACAAAATGCGAATTGACCTGGTCAAGTGGCGGTATCTTTGTTTTGTGGGCGACGTGGGTCTTGCAGGATTGTTTACACATGCTCTCCATAATGATTTTGCGCGCCCAGGCATACATCATCGCTTTACCCACACTTTTATTAGGCTTTTGGCACAAGGCTGCCAAAGTTTGGACCGTCCAGTAGGTTCTCTTGTACAGGCTAAGGGCCGGATCGGACCGCTGAACAGTGCAGCATCGTTAAATGGATGCTGCAACAGCGTCAGAGAGCCTTTTGTGGCGGCCGCCAGATTGTTGCATGCAGAGCAAAAGTTGCTTTGAGCCTCTCGTTCGAATTGCTTTGGGTGCTGAAAAGCTAGGAGAATCCCCTTGTATTGATGTCACACATGGTCGGGAGCACCTGCATATGCATCCTGTACCGCCACATTCCTGGACGTGCACTTGACTTGAGCAGTGAACTAAACTTTGGTTGGGCATTTGGAAGATCACTTCGGCCAACCTTCAGTGAAAAGCCAAACAACCGAATCCTCATGGATCGGGGTTTAAATACAGCGCTCACCTTTTTGCAAAGGACACGTAACGGCGTTCTCAGAATGGGATGCGTGGGCTGGCAAGAGAGGTTTGGTCGCTTTCTCGCAGCCCATTTTCAGCTTGATATCGTATGCGACCGGATGTCGGAGACATTACAACCTGGCGGAGTAAAGTTACACTTTTCATTTGGGTCATTGGGTCAACATGGCCTTCCAAGTTTCCGGGCACAGGGACCGATTGAAACCGGGCCTCGCAAGGATTGCCCAGCATCGTTTCCTCAAGCAAGAGCCGGTTGTAAGCACCGCTTGAATTATTGGCGTGCATGCTTCAACTCTGATAAACGGTGCTGACCTTCTGCTGCGAGACTGTTGCCATGGAGCGCTTGACGCTCAACCGCTCAGCACGGTTGGTGCTGGCCGCTCTTTGCGCGGCATGGCTCAGGTGGGACCTGGGCGAAGCTCTGATTTGACCCAGTGTTGGTCAGGCCAACAGTGACATGCACATTACTTGGTGGGTACAGACAAATATGCTTTTGCAAAGGTTCCCCTTAGCTTCCTGCGGTGCGCAAGGTGATTTGCCTATCCCCGTGGGGTTGCATAACCCTGGTAATGGGTCCGCAAGCCTCGTTTGGCCCTCGTGTTGCCAACGGTACATTTGCAGTTGCAAACATAGACAAACTTTGGTTGGGTTTGCAAACCTTCGCAGAGGCTTTTGGGTTTTAAGCCATTTTAGTGCCTTCGCAGAGGCTTTTGGGGTTTTAAGCTATTTTACTATAGCCACTGTCTGCCGGCCAAATTCGGTGTGCCCGCGGTGTTCTTTCAAGCCCAACACGTGCATCGTTATTGCCGTGCTGGGCTTCTCTGGGGAAAGCTTGAAAATGAGGGTGCCTGCAACCTCTTAGCTTGATTGGTTCTGCCTCAGAAATTTTGTAGTTGTCAAGATGAGGGGCGATATGCCCGGTAATTGCCAAATTATGTCGGTTTGGTTTGGAGTCGAATGGGCGTTGAGACGCAACAGCCACAATGATCAATAGACAACAATCCCGTGCACCGATCCTCAGCAAAACAAGCGATTACAGTAAGGGCTAAAATACTTCGAGCGTGGTTGTGGGGTACTGTAGGAGCAATGTATGAGCAGTTGTGCAGCCCCTCATACTGTGGATGGAAAACATGTCCTTTACCAGATGGGATATGCAACCCGATTTGAAAAGTGGTTGAGAAGCCACCAATATCAACTGTTCCAACTGGTGCCTGGCGTGGATCTTGCCCATGCGCCGTATCACGTGGAGGTGTCTTTGTTGGGGGTTCCCCCTGGAGCCAACATACGCCAAGCATTTCGTTTGAAGATTCCCCCTGGAGACCAGCGGGCCGTTAAACAACAGTATTACTCTGCAAAAATCCACGTGAAATGAACACCTCAGACCCAGTTCTACGCTTTGTTCATCTTAGTTGACTTCCTCTAGCCTCAAAGGCTTGGGCGCTGGGCAAGGCCAACCACGTCAAGCTTAACATTTGGGCATTTGTTGGGCAAGGATTCGGACCCTTTTTGTGACCCTTTGTTCAGTATTCGGGGAGACTTGCTCGTAGCTCTTTTGGGGATGAGGTGGGGCCCTCACACTTCCTTTCCCATGGTTTCCGCAAGTTTTTCCCTCTATCACCACGTTGCCATCCGAAGCCCGAAACGGCCGCTTGAGACCACGCGGCTTCATCTCACCGGCGCGGCCACAGCTTCGCCCGCTTGGCACAGGCAAGGGAAATCGGAGCCTGGAGTGCGCCAATGCGTCGGCCTCTAAATTTGGAACCCCGTTTGGTGGCTTGGTGTCCCTTCAAAACATCCCACAAAGGGCAACCTCGCAAAACGAAACACCGAAATAGCTTCAACGTATACGTACAGTCTTGGGGAACACTCGCAAAACTGGTTGCTGGACCTTGATAGACCTGCTTGGCCAGTGTTGAACCTCTTGACGTCGCAAAGCACAGCAGAAGCCGCAGTGCTGCGTGCTGTTTGGGGTGGTTCTGATATGGTGTGTATTGTGTTTCCTGAGTCCGCGCTTTCCATTGGCATCAAATGTGGGATGTTGGTTCCGCTTCAGTCATGTTTTGAATCCATCCCAAAAGAGGGCCCTAGCTTTGACATACACACACTCTCTCTCACACACACACACATCGAAGGAACAAGAAACACCCACGCTGGGGATTGTTTGGCGTCTCTCCCACTCATCAAGCCGACTTACTGACAAATATACTCAAGGGGCTGAACAAGTACGGAATGATCGGGGCTGAAAGTGCTTGAATTGATGAGGCTTCGCCTTGCTGTAGACAAGACAAAACAGGGCGTGTGAAGGATGTAGTTGTGGGGTGTCTGCAGCATTGCTGACGACATCTGCCGAAGCTGACCAGTTGAGATTCCCGTTGCTGATGTTGGTTCTGCCCGAGTTTTCAGATGTTTGGGTTTGGACACTTTGGGTGTCCAAGAGGTATATATTTGCCAGGTGCTGCGGTGCTTCCAAGTGCGATTCCTTTGTTCAACTTTTGTGGAGGATCCTTTAAAATAGACTACTGAAACAAGGGTGGCCCTTTTCTCACCATGGAAGTCCACTGGACGTCTGGGGTTTAGGTCACTGTCGGCTTCCTGTTGTCGAAAGAGAAAGCGTGGCCCAGCCCCGAAGCCCTGTCGACACCCAGGGTTTGGCCAAGGCAAATCCAGTGGATGCGGCTCGTACAGCTCGCGCCTACTCGCAAACCTTCCCAACGAACCGACTGAAGCAATGGGCGAACTATGTTTTTGCAAACATGCTTCTATATGAGATGACTCAAATTGTTTTTGCAGTGCCGCAACACCCCGCTCTATGTTTGAGGCCCGTACGGTAACTGGGGTGATCATCCAGCGCAGGTGCTCTGGGCCAAAGCGCGCCGCACGCACCAAGTTCGAGTGCGCTGCTGGTGGCGCTAGCGCTTACGGCTGCTGTTTCCCGGCAGCAACATCGGCCACGAGCCAAAAACCAACTTGTCAACTTGTTGAGAATACAACTAACCCAAAGCACCTCAGGCTGAACTCCTATCTGCAGAGTTTTGGCCCAGTCAGTCCTTGTTGAGGGTCATCGCGCGGCTTCTGTCTCTGAGGCGCCTGTGGCCTACGTGTCGCGGCGTCGCGGAACTGGCTCCGCAGTTGGGCGCCGGGCAGGGCCAGTGCTGTTCGGCTCGCAGGGCAGCCGGTCGCCCTTGGTGAACTGGTACCTCTTTGAGATAGGCCGGGGAATGGGGAACGAACCTGGTGCCCTTTAAGGGGAAGCCAAAAGGAGGTTGTTTGACCAAGGAGTATTTCAACATGTTTACACAAGTGGGTGCCCCCCACCTTGTTGGGGAACTCGGGCAGGGATTGTCGTTCAGGGGTGTCAAGTTATTGTGCAAAACCAAAGCCAGCAAAGCTGTTCCAGTGCTGCACATGCCCAGTTTGAGAAAATTGCATCAACTTCCTTTTAAGTTGGTTGCGTTGTCAAACCTGACAGTGCTCAACTGCGTAGCGGGAACCCCGAGCGAGTTTCCTTTCAGAGGGCACCCAGGAACGGCGTCGCTTTCTGAGGGTGTTGTTTTCATGCAGGAAACCGTGGCCAGTCCCAAATACTACAGACGAGCATTGACCTGACCTTAGGATCTTGGAAATGGGTTGATTTGCCCACGGCCACATCAACCGGTTCAAGATTTATTTGTTGAAAGCATAGCAACCTTGCTGTCCAAAAACTGGAAGAATGGTATTCCAGCCTCTTAGGTTCGCTGAACGTATCAAGCACAACAGATCCAAATGCACTGCATAAAACTGTCCAACTACTAGGCTATCAAACAGTTTCCTGTTTTTGTTACCTTACATTCACATGCATGTGTTCCTAGTTAAGCTTGTTACCATATATTCAGACTATTGGATGTGTCGTCGCCATATTATTAGCATTGTTATTATTATCGTTATGATTATTATTATTGTTATTATTTTTGTGATTATTAGTATTATGATTATTATTATTATTAGTATTATTATTATAGTTATTGTTATTGTTATTATTATTATTATTATTATTATTATTATTAGTAGTATTATTATTATTATTATTAATTACTATTATTATTGTTTGTTGATTATTAATTAGTGTTATTAGTATTATTATGATTATGATTATTATTATTATTATTGTTATTAGTATCAATTATGATTATTAATATTACTATTATTATTATTATTTTTTATTATTATTATTACTATTATTATTATTAATATTATTATTATTATTAGTATTATTATTAATTATTGTTATTAGTATTAATTATGATTATTATTATTATTGATTATTATTATTACTATTATTATTATTAATATTATTATTATTATTATTAGTATTATTATTATTACTATTATTATTATCATTATGATTATTATTATTACTACTATTGTTATTGTTGTTATTATTATTTCATTACATGCATTTTGTTCTATCCTAAGGCCAAGACTTCGAGATGGTGGACGTTGGCGCTACCCGCGTGGACCGCTCAGCGCCGGAGTTCCCGCACCCCTTCGGGAAGATCCCGGCACTGGCGGACGGGGATTTGCAGGCGGAGTTGCGGGAGTTGGGCGCGGCTTTTCTTGGTTTCCAGGTGTTCTGCCTTTTTGTTTTTGTTTAAAGGAGTTCCCTTGAAGATCAAGCATCAAAAAAAGGGAAGCACCTTGTTTCCCATGGACATCTGCTGGAGGTTTTGCCCAGTTGAGCAAGTGACTTGTTTTGAGGGCACCCTTTTGAGTTTGATTTCGAGGGACACCAGTGATACCAGCTTTTACCAGCCGAATTGGGCTGGTTCCAAAAGTCTGGGTCACTGAGGTTTGCGACGGCGTTTGGTGAAGCTTCCTTGTTACATAGGGATCATATGGGGCTGGGCAAGCTTGGCTTGCTGCACAAGACTGCTTCAGGAAAAAAACTATCTGGGTGTGTCTTAAGCAGAAGTTCAACTCTACGTAGTTGGTTTCCTTTTGGTATCCCTCAATCCATCATCCAAAGGTGCTCCCTTGCTTTATCTTCCCATTTTGGAAGGGATTGTTGATCGGATCTTTCAACTCACATGGTGGAAGCATGCCATTTGCACACAGCCAATGGCACGGTGTGTTTTGTTCAAGTACCTCGGCGTTACAAGCCCGAAAAAGGATTCTGCGTGACCTTGCGAGGAAGGGACTCATCATGTGCGCTCATGTTGGCGGCCTCAGGGTACAACATCTCGGCCACGATAAAGAGTCGCTATTGGTCTCATAATTATTGCATGTCACATTCACTAACGTACTTGAGTTGCCACCATTGTTGTTTGTTGGATCATTGAACATGAGCCCGCAAATATGTATGGACTTTTCTTAGCCCATCAACTTGGCAGTTTAGCTACCTCGTCCCGATGTGTGGGCAAGTTTTAACGCGCTCGCCTGGATGTCGAATGAGTTTACTATGATGTAATTTGCCAAGAGGAGCCCCAATCCACAAGACCCAGATAAGTAGAGGTCACTAGGGAGTTCCAAGCATAGATAGGTGCGGATCTGTTGGCTATACCCCTGACACTGTGCTCAAACATTGATGAATCCAGAGAACTATTGCAAGCAAAGGAGCTTCCCTAAGCTAGGTAAACTCCCCTCCTAAATGCGTTCTGCCTTTTGTTTTGGAGCCCACGACTGAGGTTTGGTATCGCAAAAACAACATGCAGAAATTCCAAGGATCAGGGCGCTTTGCACCCCGAAGTGCAAACAAATCCACCCCCCCCCATCCCCTACCCCCTCTTGCCATGGTGGTGCGAGGTCTTCGAGTCGGGTGCCATCCTGATGTACCTCGCGGACAAGTACGGGGGCCTTGACACGCCGGAGAAGCGTCGGGGGGCTCAGAGAATAGGTGTCCCATGCCCCGCCACCTGCAGATACCTGCGTTTTGTAGGCAAGCTCCCTAAGTCCCTGGACTTGGATGCTGCTTGGGAAGACCGTTTGAGTGGCAAACAGAAACACAGGGGCTTGTTTTTGGCCAGTCCACTCAGGAAGCCAGTAGGGGTATGATGTCTACCAGGGTTGGTTGCAACATTTGTTTAAAGAAACGGACACTAGGAAACCATTAGTAATGGTTGTTGCAACTTGGCCCGCTCTTCATGTCTTACCCTGACCAACAAGGGTCTGAAATACCTGTGTGTTCTTAAGTCCTGGAAGTGTCCCAGCCACCTTTTCTCAACTGGGATCCTTCTTGATCGGGTAGCACTGACATGTTGAGAGATGAGGCGCCAATGCCAACAAGTGGGTGGTGTGGGCGAATGCGAGCCTTGACCCCATCTGCTTCAAGGCAGGAGAAACACAGTGCAGCAGGAAAACCTACCACCGGTTGTTTAAACTAGGTCAACCAACTGCATACTCCCCTGCAGATGACCCGGAAGCCAAATAAAGGCTCCCAACAGGAGGTTCCTCTACAAATTGTGGCTTTTTGCATTTCATGTCCCGCCGCAAGGGAGTACTCCTGGGAACAGATCTTGAAAGGTGCTTGCTTTCCCTTTGGTTAACTCCATCCCAAAGGAAGTTCTGAATTATCGGATTGGTGAAGCAAATAGCGGGGGGGCCTCTGCCAGGGATCTCTTTACTTACCAAAGTTCTTCTCCAGGACCAGGGCCTAAAGGTTTACTCGCAACTACTTAACACGGAATGGGCCCTGTTGTTCAACATTGTCTTCAACCCCCAAGGTTCCGTGGTGGGAAATTAGTGAGCTTTAGGAAGGCCCCCAAACCTCACTTTACTTGTCGCTTCGTGATTTGGTTTCAGGAGGACGGGAACGGCCGGGTGTTGGACACGGGCCTGCGCAACGACGTGCCGGCCTTGGCCACCTTGGATGCCCACCTCGAGGCCAACGAGTTCCTGCTGGGCAGCGGGGAGGAGTCCGACTGATCCGTAGGCAAGTTGATCCAGTGCCATAGTCGGCAACCAGGGGTGGTTTTTGAATGGTTTTCCCTGGTTACCTGCTTTAGGGGTAACTGGATCCACTGGAAAGGCTATGCGCTTGGTTCCATGAATGCTGGGGGGTGTGTTGCTTTCAATTCAAGTACCAAACAAGGGGCATGGCTGGAGGCTTAAGGTAGCCTACCGTAGCAAGGTACTAGGCCCCCCCAGAAATGGAATCTTTGGGTCTCGGCAAGGGGTCCTGCTAGGGTACATTCTGGTTGCCACTGGTGGCTAAGAGTGAAACAATCGATAGAACGTATCTGGAAGAAGGCTTGCCTTCAACCATGCACATATTACACCAGTTGCTGATTTTGAGTATTATCCTTTTAAACAAGACATGTTTAAGCAAGAAACATAAGGAGCCATCCGTGAATCAGGCCAAAAGCGCGCATGCACGGCTTGGGTTTCCCTCTAACTGGTGCAATGCTTGGGAGGGAGCGAGCATTCCCCGCGGAAATTCCTCCGGTTTCTGAGTCTTGTCGCCTACCAACTCCGGTAATTGCGATGTGTCTTCGGGTCTACCAGGAGTCATTCTCTGTGGCCGACGTCGCTGTTGGCGCCTACCTGCTGTACGCAGCCCGGCGAGAAATCTCGGTGTCGGAGCGGCGTGTGTTGAAACAGCCAGACCTGTTGGGCCGAGCGCCTGGTTGAACATAGTGATTCCATTTGCAAGTGCATAACCACCATACCCCCTAGATGGACGTACAATTCGGCAAATTGTTGTGGTGGGTGTTCCCCCCCAACAGTGAAGGAAGCCCATCAAATACTATGCGCCACTGTATTCATCAGCCAGGTGCTGATGAATCATAGGTCTGCATATTTGAGGGCAAGCTAACCTGTGGGTAGAACGAGGTCCTTTACTTGGAGACTCCTTTTTTGTGGTTGGCACTGCACATATTGTAATACTTGCAGATGGCTCCGCGCGAATCTTCAGCAGTGTCGTCACATGGGCTCCTGCAGGAAGACTCGAGTTTTCTTCATCCCGCGCAGCCCCTTTTGGGATGGCTTTCAAGAGAAACCAAAAGGACGCCAGCCATGTTAGGCGTTCCCCAATTTTGAGACAAGCCCATGTTTGGGTGAACCTGCAGCCTAGGAACCCCTTATAGTCCTTTTGCGTTGCTATTTCTGGGGCCATGATCCATACACACATACAAACACGACCACACCAACGCAGCAAAATCACGCACACACACACACGAAGAGATAGAGCGAGAGAGAGAGAAGAGAGAGAGAGAGAGAGAGAGAGAGATAAATTTGGTGGACTTGGTGTTTGGTGCGAATACGCTGAGTGCCACGCTGTGCCGAGGTGCCACTCTTCTTCCCTGACGTTACGGTGTCTAGATGGCCAAATATTCAGCGCCTTGGCTGGCAACTTTATTGGCAGTCTAACTACTGTTGGTTTGGGAGAACACGGGGGACAACCACAATCACAAACAAATACTGCGGGGAACCCAATCTTGCTATGCCCTCTTGAGGAACAAACACTATTTATGAGTCTCATATTCTGTGAGGCTTGGCGCGTCTTTCTTGATCATAGGCCCGTTGGGGCCTTCTTTTGAACGGTGCAGACCATGGTTGTGTGGATTTTTAGGGCCGCTTGCGGCGACGGCAAGGACTCCCTTGAAAACGAAAACCTAAATCATCATGCCGTCGCGCCTGAGGCGCTACATGCTGCAGCTGCTGCAGCGTGAGGCCTACCAGCGGGCCTTTGGCGCAGGGACGGCGCAGCAGATTGAGACGGTGGTGCCGCTCGGCTCACGAGGTTAGATTTTGAGGCTCAATTGGGAGGTCTTGCTTGGGGAACCATTTTTTTTGGTGGTTGCTAAAGGGAAGCCAAAAGTCAAAAGGAACTTGGGGTGACCCAGACATCGAATCCAGTGGGTTGCTTCCTTTTTAACTTTGCTTGGAGGGGGAAGTTCCCCCAATTTAGTTTCATCAGCCTGTTGCCCTACTGGCAGAAAGGGACTGGTGCCATCTACTTTCACCCTGGGTGCACTCTATTAGTTTGAGGACATGGGGTGCCCACAGGCTCGGGTGAGGGCTGTCGGCTCCCCATGTTTCCGCCTTTTGGTGGTTTTAAGCATTCACATGGGCCACTTTGAAGTGAGTACCTTGTTTTGTTCTTAGCCCTGTTTCCCGCCACATTTCTGGACGTATATGTGGGTGTTCTGTTAGAGCAACCTGCCAGTCGCCTGGATGTATAGCCACTAGCCTGCTTTGTAAGTCTGACATACCCTCAGATACAAGTCAAGTGGGACAACCGAGGTTGGTTTACATATTGACACGGTTATCGCTTATACCAAACGGCGTAGGCTGAAAATTCTATCAGGGCCCAGGGATGGCCTTTGAACGTTTGGCTTTCTTTCGAGTCTCTGGACATTGGCATTGATTGTTAGGCTGGTAAACGCATTGTGTTCGTCCTGCTTAATCCTCTAAACACTGCGCGCTGCTGTTGACACTAGGCTTCCTTGGTAGGGAAACAAATTGTTTCGGTTGCTTCGAGGCTTGCTAGCCTTAGACTTGTCCTTAAAAACACCTCGCCTGTTTGTCATTAGTTTTGCGAGGACCTTTGGGGATGCCGCTCATTTTTTCGCGACTTGTTCAAGCTGACCCAACCGCAACCATGACCATGTTCTGAATGGATATGCGCCACAGTCAAAATTACGTGCCTACATTGTCGAACAAAGCTTATGAACCGTGCGGAACTTTTTGCACCTTGACAATCATGAAGATACGAACAAACACAATCATGGCCATGGCTTCGTAAAACGCAACGAACTCTAATTTGACCCTCCAAATTGTGGATCGCAAATGGTCGCATGTGAACAAACAAGCCATATTGGCTTGCTCGTTTCCTGACTTGTTAGTCTGCCTGTCTGTCTACCTGTCTGCCTCTGACCGTCGATTGCTTGACTGCTTGTCTGCCTTTGTCGCTGTCTCTGTCTGTCTGCATCTCTCTCCGTGGCTCTGTGTGTTCGTTAGTTTGTTTGTTTGTTTGTTTGGTTGGTTGGCTGGTTGGTTGTTTGCTTGTTTGTTTGTCAGTGTTCTTGATGTGTGTGTGTGTGTGTCTGTGCATGCATGTGTGTGTGTGTGTGTCGTGCGTGTGTGAAGCCAAGACTCTGGTAGGGTGGTGTTAGCATCGCACTTGCCTTTGTCAATTTACCGTCATCTTTGGCATGTGAGGAAGAAGAAGGGCGACTCCAAGATGTTCGGCCTCTTTTGAGGGTCCTGGAGTTGTTGACGTTGCCTGATCCAGGCTAAGTACCCTGGCATCAGATTTTCCGTGGCATGTGCGTCACAGTGGCTCGCCACGCTGGAAAAGAATTGGCCATCTTGTCGCTGGTGTTCAAGTCAGTTTCGGATCAATCCAGAGTACCCCACCAGTCGGAGGACCCTACTAAAACGGGAACCACCCCTGATTCGCACAGTCCCCCAGATGACTTCGAACTTAACGTTACTTGGTCGACCATCCAACATGTTTCTTTGCCAGAAGAAAGGATGCCACGTTGTGGCCTTCACTTCAAGTGGCTAGCTTTCGGCCAGATGGCCATGGTTTGAAGGGATGGCCAGAGCCAATTCAAGTGCCAGGTGCCTCATATGCCAGGGCAGCCGCTGAAGGACAGAGGCTGAGGCAGATGATCTTGAAGCATATCTTACATCTGGGTTGTTTACACCCAGCCATTGATCAGGGGGTTTGTAACTTGTCGACATTACTTTCTGCTTAGATCAATTCCAGTCCTTTACGTTGACCAACCGGATTTTGCAATTTTGCTCCGTTGCTGTCCCGGCGTGTTTGAAGCAATCATCGTAATTGTTGGGCCGGTGATCCTGCATCCCTTGCTTGCCCAGCTAGACAGGGGAGGCCACTTTGAAAACTAGCCCCCTGCCAGAACAAAGAAGTGGGGTACCCTTTTTCCATTCAATTACTGCAAGGTGCGCGCAGACTGGAATGCAGAGGAGGGATCCTTCAGGGGGTCACTGGATGTTTCTTCATGTTTTGCCAGCTGCAACTTCTGGAGCCCCAAAACGACTTTGACAGAATTTGAGCTCTCCTTGGATAATTTTTCACGCATTTCATCATCCATTTTGGCTGGGTTCTGGGCACCCATGATCTCTGGCCCCTTCTTAGTAGCAGTCGACCAAACGTGAAACCACTTGTTCAGTGGAACCTGCATTCAACTGAGGTTGTGGCCAGGCATTGGGTTTGCGACCTGCCCATGAAGGTTTCCCCATCCCCAGCCTTCCCCAGCCGAATGGCAGGAGACCTTCGCTCGGATGAAGGCCTTGGAGCCACGGCTCTTTGAGGAGGGTCCAACCCGTGACACGGGTTGGTCATTTTTGATTTTGCACCAACCGATCCAGAGCAGTTTGCCCATTTCAGGACAACCACAGACGATACAATTCAATACCATGCAACACACTTATCATGAACTGCTTCAGCAAAACATGCATAGAGTATATATATATATATGTGTTATATATATAAATATAAATATATATATATATATATATATTTGTTTAACGCCTCCGGCTCAGGCCGCCGACATTACAGGCCTGCTTTCTTATTTGCGTCCCTTTGGAACTGTCCCCTTGCCCCCCTTCCCCTCTAAGATCTTTGCCCCCCTTTCCCTGTTGAGATCGTTTCCCCCTTTCCCCCCTAAGGCCTTCCCCCCCCTGAGATCTTCTCCCTAAGATCTTTTCCCACCTTTCCCTGTTCTTCTCCCTTTTCTTCCCTAAGATCTTTTCCCCCCTTTGCCGGGTGATATCCTTCCCCCCCTTTTCCCCCCTAAGGCCTTTTCCCCCCGAGATCTTCTCCCTTTTCCTCCCTAAGATCTTTCCCCCCCTTTCCCTGTTGAGATCCTTTCAAGGCCTTTTCAGATCTTCTCCATTTTCCTCCCTAAGATCTTTTCCCCCCTTTCCCGTTTGAGATCCCTCCCCCCCTTTCCCCCCTAAGGCCTTTTCCCCCCAAGAAAGACGTCCCTTTTCTTCCCTAAGATCTTTTCCACCCTTTCCCTGTTGAGATCCTTTCAAGGCCTTTTCAGATCTTTTCCCCGCTTTCCCGTTTGAGATCCTTTCCCCCCCTTGCCCCCCTAAGGCCTTTGCCCGCTAAGATCTCTCCGACACTCTCCCCCCCTAAGATCTTTCCCTTCCCCCTCCCCCTTCTCCGATCTTCTCTCCAGGTCCCCCCTAAAATATTTTTCCCCCCTTTGCCCCGAAGATCTTCATGTCCCTTCACTTTCCTTCACTTTGTTCCTTTTCTTTCATTTCACTTCATGACATCATTTCAATGCATTTTTCTTCCTCTCCATATTTTCCTTCACCAGCATTTGGGCAACATCCCCAGCATTACTTGCATCATCCGCATCCTTGGCAGGCGCTGATGCGGATGATGCAGGTGGTGCTGGCGATGTTGCCCAGGAGATACCAAGGATGCAAAAACGGAGCCGAACACCCCAATGTTTTTGCGCAACTGTGTCCCGCACAGCCCCCACAAGAAAGGATTTAGAAACCGGAGGGGTAACAGGCAAAGAGGTAAGGAGCATTTTTTATGTCCAACACGCCGCCTGTTGTCGGCGGCTCTATTCCTACACATACTTGCTCATTGGTAATCATATGTTCCCTCACTCGAGCATATAGGTGTATCATTGAATTATTCACCCGGATTGGTTGGACTGTTGAAATGAGACAATTTGGATGATTAACTCACCAACCAGGAAGGGTATTATTCTTGCATTCCTGCCAGTGTTTTCCCCACACCACCCCCACCATGAAGCATGGAAGTGCACAGACCGTCTTTTGGAAGCAGCGTCGCCGGTGCGCTTCCACGTGTGCTTGCTTAAGACCTTGTCCCGAGTCCGGAATGTGTGTTGAAAAAAGTTGAACGTGAAAGGTGCAGTAACAAAAAGACCAGAATCAAACATATCATTTTGGTTGCGGGGCAAACGGTGACGAAGAAGTCGGGAATCCAAATCGCTCTCTGTTTCCTTTGTTGGTCCTCGGGCAGGAAGTGGCAGGTGGTTGAAGGTAGTTTCCGAAAGCGGCTGTTGGTGATGACATTGACTACGGCAGGGTTTGGTTTCCCTCAGAACGGGAATTGTGCCATCTACTTTCACTTTGGTGCACGGATTCGCACTTCCTGGCTTGAGATGGATCTTGGAAGAATTCCTCCGGACCCAACATGAAATTGTTGTCATTTGGAAGGGGTCCAAACCTGTCTCTTTGCATGCTTCGCTGCAGCAAGATGTTTCACAGAGTTCCAAGCAGTGTTGTTCTTGTTGGCTTAGGTCTCATTGTGCCTCACTTGAGAAGCCTGAGGAATCCAACTAGCTGGTAAGGATGGGGATTGCAATGCGGGCTTCTAAAGCCAGGCTGGTAGATTGATGGGTTGGGCACTGCTCGATTGGACATGTTGGTTGGGACCAAGCGGTCAACAATGGGCATGTAGAGGAATTTCGGGAAGCTATCATTTAGTTTCTGAAAGGCCCACAGAAGGTATGAGGGTTTACAAACGATCACAGAAGGTGATGGTTTTCTTACAAACAACTAGACCCCTGTTTGGCATCCAGTCATGCAAATAAATGGCCAAATGCCTTTCGCTCGCGAAAGGACCGGTATTTCAAGGACATCTTCCGTGACCTGCCAAAGGAGCGACTGCACATAGCGGGGGCAACCTACGCCCAAGTGGTCGGCGACATCCTCAAAGGGAGCCCTTATTGTTGGTTCATTATAAGCATCATGATACATGTTGACCGTGCTCACGAGAGGGGGGGCGGTCGTCCGATGTAAGTGAGTGGAGCGTCATGATTCATTTAGACACGTGGTTGTCTGATATAGATTTCTTGTCGTTGTTCCTCTGGACCGGGCTCCTTTCAAGGACTGGCGGTACCTACTGCAGCGCATCTCTTGGGCAGAGAAGCGGGGCATCTTCACAGCGCAGCAGCCTGGGCACTTCGCTGGCCAGGACGGCCGGCAAGCCGGAAAGCCAAGCGGAGTTTGTGCGGATCGGTCCACCAGATGTGTTCGGTAGGCAAAATATGATACGCAGTCTGAACAAACGTATTTTGAGGATAATTTCCCCAGAGTAGGGACAAGATACAGAACCAACCGGCTGGTAGAGCTGCCTGATGGAAAGAGTTTCTTGCAGAAAGCTGTTGCCTTACATCCCATGCCAGAACTTGACGATTCCAACTATATCCTTAGACATGTGTTTTAGTTTAGATATGTTTATGACATATCCCACTCACTCAAAGTTTAGCTTTTAGCAAAGTATCACCGAACCACCAAGTTTAGCAGGAAACTATGAAACCGTTTGTGGCCCTCCCCTCGATTCTTGAGTCAGAAGGCTCTTATGAGAGGCTGATGAGAGGGAGTACCTGTCTCGAGGTTTAGGCTAACCTGGGGATGCTTCCCAACAGTTTTAGGAAGCGATGGAACCCCTGGAGACTCTAGAGGTCACAGCTCATTTTGGGCTGCCTTTTTTTTTTGTTTGCAGTTGTGTTGGGCAGTTGTTACTGTTGAGATGCGGAAGCTTGAGACCATTTCTTGTCACAGGTCAACATCGCTGCCTTCACACGTCCCAATACAGACACTCCAGTTGGCCTTGCCTTGCATTCTTCCAGGAAGACTTGCTGGTGCCAGCCGTGTACCACACACCACGACCAGACACGGCTGGGAGCTGATGGGTTGGGCGATTACTTCAGGCGTTGAGGTCCCCTATGGTGTGGGTCAAAGACAGGAGACCCTTTTGGATGGTTGATTTCATGTCGCTTTTGGTATCGAACCTTTATCTTCTTCCCTGAAATCCCTTCCTTCGAAAGAGGTTCAACATGTTTTGACGCGCAACCCCCCTGAGGCCACCATCTGTGTGGGTGACTCTGGCCGGGCGCTAAGTGGGCAGCCAACTGCATTTGACACTGGAGCCATTTTGGTGATTCTCCGGGGGGGTTCGGTGCAAGTCATGGCCCCTTTTCATAGCTTCAAGCCTTATGTATCGGTTGAAGACATGCTGAGCGGAGCTTATCCTGGGCTTTTCAGTGATGCACCCTTCAAGCCTCCCAAGGCTCCCATGAGTAAGGTTTTTGAAAAGGGTCATAGTGATACTCAGGTAAAAGACAAGGCAAATTGGGTGTTGAGAGCTTCTTCCTTCAACTGTCCTCTATCCTGTTATTGGAAGCAAGCACACAGCCTGTTCTTTCAAGAGCACCCTTCGCTTGCTACAGAGTGCTTCAATGAGACGTCGCTGCGCCAGGTGTTGCTTTTGGCCACGTTTGGGTGCGAGCTGAGAATTGTCCTTCATGTTGGCCAGTTCTTTGCCACTGATGTCATTTATGGTAGGCAACCCATGGAGCGGCCTTCAAGAACAGGGCAAACGGCTGGTCTACAGGAACAGAGAAGTCGCACTCTGCCTTTGATCCGTAAGGCCCAGCTTTGCACTCAAAGCCTCGATGAAGATGAAGGTTGTTCATGTACCATGGTGAAACCGCTGGTCTCTAGTGTAGCCTTTGACCCGTTTGTTCTTTGTTGAGGGGCAGGTGGGGATGTAACTGGTTTGAAGATATCCGAGTAGTTGATCGATTCCGCACTAAGCTGCACATGTACGTACCTTTTTGCTGCCTTATATGGTCAGTTGCACCATCCCGCGTGACACAATGTAGCCGACAGGCTTGCCTGCAGCTGTAAGGGGGCGCTGCTTCGTAAGTCTGAGTTTTGATTGGGACCTTTTGTTAGACATCCTTCACAAGGGGAGTTACGTCTACCCCATGTTGCAGGGTGTCCCCCATCAAAGCAATATGCCTATTTGTCCAACAGTTCGTTAAGTTGGCTCTCCTCCTGAAGTGGAAAGGGTTCCCTTTGGGCTTTTCCAATCTACTGAATGGTGGCTCAGATAGCTCGCTTTGAGGCCCCTCGCCGTCAGCAGCCCAGCAGTCAGACAGAGAGAGAGAGAAGAGAAAGAGAGAGAGAGAGAGAGTCAAAAAAGAGAGAGAGAGAGAGATAGAGAGACAGAGAGAGAGAGAGACCGGGGCAGCAACTGCGCGGTCACGTGGGGGTCGTTTGTCCCCCATGCATGGTTATGGTGAGAAGCACAAGCCTGACCGAAAAGCGCTGTTTGCTTTGAACAAATGTGGGGAAGGTGTTGGACCCGCGATGACGGAATGATAAGTTTCCAGTCAGAACTTGCCCTTTTCACGAGTCCCCGGATATCGAGGAGAAGTGTAATATGTCACAGCATGTTACGGCTGTTGTGGGTTGCCTAGGGTGTCGTGGGTGTAGCTGAAATGTTCTTCGACTTACAAAAGCCAGGGAGCAGCTTCCCTGCACTGAAACCGAGAGATTGTGTAGCATGTTGATTCTTTCCAACAGACCCTACTTCATTTTCGTGCCTTTGACTTGTTGGCTTTCCATTTGCGCGCGCTCTGCGGTTTGAGCAGCATGACTTGACTGAAGCAACTGACAAACATATAGCTAGTTTGTTGTCAGTTGGGGAAATCAATTCCCCACAGAAGGGTGGGGGATGGTTCCGGGACAGTCAACATGCAACGATTTAACATCCTCTTGGGAAATGAGTCGGATAGCGTCCTTGGCTTGCGCGTGCAATGCCTCACGCCACCTTCATCGGGGGTCGATCGGCCTGGAGGCCCCTGACGCCCGGCTACGAGTATGCGCTTCTGCCATGTCACGACTCTTGTCGCGGTGGGTAAGAACAAAGGGGCATGAACCCCCAGCTGTTTGCTGCGGAAAGCGCCATTTCAAAGCACCGGGTCTTATATATAGGCAGATGTCTTCAGGGGAGGCGGAAAGCCGATCCCTTAGCTGGTATCCACTCCCCCCAAACCAAGAACCCCCATGAGAAACGTGGTCACGTTCCCTTGAACTCTTCCCTAACAGGCCAACAGAAGTCCAATGTGTTTTAACGGTATTTGGCAGTTTGGGGGAGGGGAGCTGCTCTTGGATTCATCCAAAAGCTCACTTGGGGTTAAACGAGCTCACCATGTGGGTCCTTCACTAACTAAGCTTTACTGAGGATTCCTTATTCAGGTTGTGGACTCTTGGTGTCAGTGTTTGTTGTCGGGGTGATTTTGTGGTGAAAAGCCGCCGGATTCGGCCAGGACTTCTTAGACCTTCTCTACGTCAAGGACCGGGCGTTTCTGCGGGAATAGTGTAAAGTTCAAGTTGTGGGTATGTGTCAGGAAGCCAAAACCTGCAAAAACGTAGAAATCAGCTGGCATGTGGGCGATTGTTTGTCTGGCCGCTGGTATTTGGACCCTCCAAAATGGTTTCCAGCTCACCTGAAGATGAGAGAGGCCCACTTCGTCTCTCACAGCGTTGGCTAAACTGAGACCTACAGTGCCCTTTGTTCTTGATATTTTGGAAGGTTTTGCGTGGAGTTCGACCACTGCCCCTCATTGTCACATGGCCACTGGAGGTTTGGGCAAGTCTCAACTTTGATCTACACTCCATGGGTGGCAGGCGCTATGACTGCGTTTGTCGGGTATAGGCCAAAGTCCAAATGTCGAAATGAGGTCTGTTTGAACTCGCGCTAGTACAGGCTTTTTGGGGATGGCGCCACCCAAAGCCTTACAGAGAGTGTCTTTGAGGATATCTTGCATGGTAGTATTCGTTGTGCTTCAAAAACTCGCACACCTTGAAGGGGCGTGTCAACTCAAACTGGAAAAGGCCATCCTTTTGGGATGTTGTTGGAAGGGAAGCCCAAAAAGGTCATGCCCATTTTGGTTGACACCGGTCCAAATCCCAGAAGAAAAGAGACTCATCGGACGAGTAATTGCCTTGAGGTGGGGTTGTCACAAAATCCGGGACTCTCTAGATGAGCAGGCGAAGACGACTGGTTTAACCATTTGTTGTCTTTCAAGGGTCTAGGTCTAGCCCAGTCTGTTGCACACCCCCGAAGCGTGCTAGATTGTGCGACAGCCGAACGTGCCGAAGATCCAAACATCCAGAGTCGGCGGTTCGACCTCGTTTTTTTTGTGGTTTTATCATGCTCCATGTTTAGTCATGACACCAAAAAAAACTTTGATTTCCATGTCTTCCGGGCAAGTGAGAAGAGAAGGATGCTTCCGTCCATCTCCCTTTGGCCTGCTGCTTGTTGTCAACCGAGCGCTGTTTCTCCCTTAGGATCAGGAGGGAAAGGTGGTGCAAGCCTGGCGCTTGATTGGAGAGTGGATGTACCGAGGCAATTTCCGACCGACGACGAGCGGGAGTAAAACGAAGTCACCCATGATGAAGCGCCTTTACCACAGGGTCTCTTATTTCCGATTTGAGAATTAGAATAATTTGCCCAGATAAGCAAAGTTAGAGGTCGAATGGAACGTGTTCTAGAATCGAGCAGGGTGTGTCTTTGAATATCAGCCAATTGCGGACCTCCCAAAACGGTATCATGATGAGTACAGAAAACAGGAAGGACACAACTCGCAAACCAATAACTTGTTCGCTGTGATGCGTAAAAATGTCCAATGAGCCAATGCCATGGTTTCACGCATCACAACAACATACAACTTATCATCATTAAACAGGAGGAAGGACAATGACAATAACGCGCCTGGTAAGGCGATTAACATGTATAAATCTTATTTAGTATGTTTGGTTGCGTTATGAGTTACAATGTTATGTGAACTGCTCAATGTTGATTTCATGCCAGAAATGCATCTACCCGTCTTCCGTTTGGTTGGATGCCTTCAACAACCATGGGAAAAGGGAGCGCAGCTATAGTTGCAACCCTTGATGCAGATGTAGGGAAGGGCTGATTGTCTGAAACAAACTTCTTGCGTGAGCAATGGAAAACAAGCGCACTGCCCCAGGTAGTACCCTGGGAGTGCTGCGGCATTTCACCGGCCGTGTTTTGGCCCCTTGGCACGCATCAGTTTCAGTCGTTGTGAATGAGTTTGTTGTTGCCCCTTGCCATTAACGCGGCTGAGTTTAGCTACCTCCCTGAGATGTCCTTGGCTTGGCGGTACAACTTAATTTCTGTTTGAAGAGATGAGGGAAGCAGAAGGAGAAGGAGAAGTTCAGGTG